AAAAAAAAAAAAAAAAAAAAAAAAAAAAAAAAAAAAAAAAAAAAAAAAAAAAAAAAAAGAATAAAATCTGGCCGCGTGGCAAGCAAAGCATTATAGAGAAGCCAAAGGAAGAAGAGAAGAAGACGCGTCGAATGCTTAATTGAGTGGAACGACTTGACCACTTGTATACGTATACGCACACTGTAAGACCGGGATCGCGCGCTTTGGCAAATAATAATATCAATGCAATTCGAACAAAGTAATGAGCGCACCGCTCAAGTGTCACATGTGTTGCGAGTAGTAACGATGGAAATGAAAGATGTGTTATTTTATTTATTTTTTTTTTTTTAAATCCGCAAAATATGGGCTAACCTTGACAACGGCGAGAGCCATGATTTTTCCGGGCAGCTCGGAGCCGAAAAGGTCCCAGGACCCGTTTCCCGAGCAATCGCTCGAACAGAGCCGACATGGCCCGGCGCTCGGCACCCCGACGGCCAGCTGTGTCGTTCGTCGCTGCTCCTTTGGCTGCTGCATTGCTCGGAGCCACCAGCTCGCGTCGACGCCGCGAAGCGAGTGACGCCAAAGACGACGAGGCGAACGAGCCGTACGGCATCCCATACACCTTCTTTTTGTTCCCCCACGTATATATAGCGCTCCCACATACATACTGGCACACGTACATATATATGTATACACTGGGAGATCGGCAATGCTCTGGGGTCGGCTGATGCACGGGTGTGTATAGGTATTGCACCGCTACGTGTATTATATAGGTAGGCCTAGCTGTATAACGCCGCCGCCTCCGACACTTTGTGCAGGTTCTTCGGAGGGACGTTAATTATCTTTCTCTCTCTCTCTCTCTTCCCTCGAGCTCGTGGAATTTTCTATGCTTTTTTTTCTCCCTCTCTCTCGATCGCAACGGTGTGATCGTTATGAACCGATTTTTCCTTTTTTCTTTCTTTCCTGTTGTTTCGTTAGCGATTTTTTACCTTTTATTTTTCTTCATTGGCCAGGACAACAATATGCATCTCTCTGGGAGCAACGCGCATATTGTAATGATGCGCAACGTTGAAGAATAATGTCGCAACGCTCCAATCATTATGTCCATTTTACTCGCCCGTGCAGCTCGCGACGAGCAAATTGATGGGCGTGGAGTCGTTAAACCACGAGTTTACCGCAACTTTAGCCAAGAGAGAGAGAGAGAGAGAAAATCGGTGGGACACGTGAACTCGATCGAGCACATAATAATTCCAACTTTCGCGGTACATCGCTGTGTAATTATAGTGTTCGCGCCCCTGATAAGTTTGAAATCGGTAGCGCAGGGGAGGGTGAATTGGTAATTATAAAATTCCAGCCCGATTATCAACGTATCGCGATTATAGGTATCGAAAAGACGCTCGGTTCAATCGGATCTAATAAATTATACACTGTGAATACCGTGAAAGCTATTTCGGGCCTTTCACTCGTGCTCCCGACAATGTAAAAAAAAAAAAAAAACACATTACCAAACTTTGAGATCCAAGTTTGTACTTCATCGACGCAAGGTATACGTATACATGGGAATACAGTCACTTTAATAAAGTATCTTGTTTTCGCGTCACGAACCCTCCAACGATTATACATATTCATTGTGTCGTATACGGCAACGCGACTACAGTTGAAAATCCAATGCCACGTACGTAACATATATATACACATATAATATAAACTTGTTAGATGGAAAAAGCGCCAAGTATGTATCATTTGTTTTCATAAATAATGCAAAAAGACGCGAGAGTATAATATACAATACGCCTGTGTTCTTTCTCTGCATTTATTATGATTTCATTGTGAAATAGCGCGGAGAAAGAGATGTTTTCCAAGGAGTGACAATGCAGCGTCTCGCGTATACGTGTACAAATAAATTAAATATGTAAGAATCAGCGCGGAGGATATCACAAAGTGTCTCGTGGAGTAATTGGGTCGAGGTACGTATCGTTTTTATTTAATTTACCATGAAAAATAAAGAAAAAAAGAAAATAATCATCAAGCTTCATCATATCGATTTAATTATCCTCATGTACAAAAAAAAAAACAAAAAAACAAAAAAAACGAGTTTAACAACAAAAACGATACATGTATATATGTATATCCTTGATCCCGTGGTTGAGATATGTAAACGTATGGATCACGGCGTGGCTACCGAGTTGAGACACAGCCTCCTTAAAATCAGCTCGATCTCGCCGAGATTTTTCTTGGCCGTCTGAGCAATCTTACCCTCGGGCAGTGACTCGGGCTCGTGTTTCAACAATCGATACGCTTCGCTCAACAATCTCTTTGCTTCCTGTGAAGATATACACATATAAAACGTTACAGTTTCGCGGGTGTATACATGTATATACACGCCAAGGGGGAGGGGGAAAAAAGTTAAAAAGGAAGGAAGGAAGGAAAAAACGGTCTTATACCTACCAGCAAAATATTGTACAACTGCTCCTTATCTCGCCTGCGGCCGAATTCCGCGACTGCGGCGTGCATTTCAAAGAGCACCAGGCCTCTCACTCTGTTCTCCGCTGCAAGCCAACGTACAACATTACATTATGTATATATTGTGTCTATTGGATGGTATATTCATGCCACGGCTGTACTATGTACACGTACAACGCATAATACGCGAAACTAAACGCGGATAGGCAATTATCTCGAAGCTGAATGGGAAGTTTTCTTACGGGGAGAAACTGGTTGGGGGAAAAAAAAATTAAAAAAAAATGCTGATAATTATAATGCTTTTCGTATTATCGATCCATCAATGCATTGAACGCGCATACGACGTAGCTTTCGAAAAAAACAACGGGGAGGAGAGGGGAAACAAAAAAAACAAAAAAAAAAATTGTATCGCTAATCGTACAAGATCCATTGATTGCCTCTCTATTTGCCATCGCGAGAACCGGTACGCATCATCATTTAAAAATTTTTCACCCCAAAAACGTACATCGCGCGTGTATATACAAGGTAGTATTTCCCCCGGAAGGAAAAAAAAAAAAAAAAAAAGGGAAACCAACGCACAAGGCACGATAACCCGCAGCAGCTCGTCGATGTTCTTGCACAGCAGGATCTTCTCGCTGACGGTCTCGTCGGGGAGGGTGGGCAGGCCACCGACTTGTTGTCCAATGAGTTGGGCGAGGGCCAACTTGACGTCGGTCATGTAAAAATGATTGGCGTGGAGGGCGGAGCCGTGGCGGCGCGCAAAGGCCCGACACGTCTCCGGGTCGTTTTTCCTCATCCCCGCGAGGTCGCGGCCCATCCTCTCGAGCTCCTCGTCCACCTCGTTCGACGACACCGAGTCGCCGCACTTGTCGCACTCGTAGTCCGGCACTTCGGGGGTAAGGAACGTAGGCGGCAGCATATAGCCCCCGCAGTCGCTATACGAACAAAAAGTCTGATTAATGGTACAAAGGAAGAAAAGCCGAGTCGAAATTGATCTCATTTCCGTGGAAAATGACTGGCGAAAAGAATCGATTGTCTTATTATTGTATGTGTGTACCTTTTTCGGCACTTGATGGCGTTGAACATGGTGCCGAACTCCGTGGGATCGGAGCAGCGCGGGCAGGCGCACTCGAAAAATTTCGTGCGCAGCAGGTGATGCCGCCTATTGGCCGTGCCCCAGAGCGGGTCCGTGTAGCAAATGGTCACGTGAGCCCCTGTAATTGTAAAAGTTTTTGCGACTGGCGAGGTTACTTATAGGTATTGTTAGCTCGCGTGCGGCCACCACCTTTTTCAATGGGCTCGGCGGCGCGTACGACGATACCGTTGGAATCGGTAAAGCTCTTGGAGCAGTTGGCCCTGCAGCTGTGCTCGAGGTAGGACGACAGGTCGTACACGGCCACCAGAGTGTTTGGCTCGACCGTAGGCACCTCGTGGCCATTGATCTTCAAAATTATTCATTATGCGTTTGTAAGAGTTACATCGGTGTATATAGGCTTTGCCGATCAACCCGTACTCGTTTGCAGGTATCACCTGTATGATCCCTACGATCCGGGCGATCTCCTGCTCGTCAATGTCCTCGGCCAGTCTGTCGAAGAACCGCTTGACGAACCGCGCGGTCTCGCGGGGCTCGTGGAAATCGGCGTCGCCACGCCCTGCGAAGGCCTGCAATCTCGCGAGCGCGGCGTAAGCTTTGGGATCGCTCTCGCGGAGGCAGAGCGCTCGCAACGCCCCGATGCATCGGTACTTGGGATGCGTCAGTCCGAACTCCGTTACGGAAACCTGTGTACGTGATGAATGTAATCACGCAAACGCGCGATGCGCTCGTTACGCACCACGCGTGCATTTCAATGCAGACTTATGTACAAGGTTACGTGGAAAAATCGGTAAAATGGCCCCTCGATTGGTAGGCCAACGTGTTAAGGTATACGGGTTCAAACAAAATGAAATAAAAAGTGTACGATTACAAGACAAAAAAAAAGATAATCTTCCAGCGCATTGGATTTTTGGAAAGGTATTTGTATGCCAACCCCTGGGGGATAGATATATTATCATCTGTACGTACAGGTGCACAGCCAAAAAGTGCAAGTGAAGGATGAAAAAAAAGGGAGGGAGGGAGGTATAATTAATGACGTGGGTGCAGTAGGGTGAGGGAGTCGAGGGGAGCAACGACCTTGGAGGTGCGGTAGCGTTGGGTGAAGCCGCACTCGGGCCCGTGGGAGTTGCAGGTGAGGCAGAGCGGCCAGCCGCAATCTCGGCAGGGCCTTGAAGTTTCGGGACTTAGGGCCACGTAGCAGCCCAAGCATATTGCTTGCGTGTCGAGCGGTGGGCTCAAAAGAAGCGGCTCCTCCTCCCTTATTACCACCTCGCCGGCCTCGATGCGCCGCTGCGCGATGTAATGACGGCCCACCGCCTCGGTCTCCATCATCTGTACACAATATATTCCATACACGTACATTTTTACTGTTTATTGCATTTATCCTTGTTTGTATATGTCTCTATTGTATACTTTGTCGCCACTAGTCAAAGTGATTATACTTACTTCTTAGTGGTAATTAATTGTTTCGTTTTTAGGCACGACTGGTGCACTTTTATACCGTAACGAAAAGTGTGCTATTCAACCCCAGAAAATACTTATACAGCTGGTCAAAAAGAAAAACAATCTTTGATCCTCAAATTATCAAATTAAACTCAAGTTTAGTATCTGTTTAGAATGCGATGGTTTATAATATAATAATTGGAAAAGTTTCTTCCGAGAGAAAAATCATTAAGTACCAAGTGCCGCAACTATAATATGTCCTCTTTCGCTACTTTGCAAATTGGCGTTTCATTTACGGAAAAAATTGTTTCAAACACAAATTATACTCCTCAAGTAAGAGATATATTATATTCTAGAAAGAAAAAATAAAAACAAAAAAACGTTTCAAATTTGAAAATTGGAAAAAAATACAAGAACATTCACACACGCTGTAATTACACGATTTTCTCAGGTCATAAACATGCATCAATGGCACTTAACTTGAAAAAAAAAAAAAAATCGTCGACACGTGCATAAATTTAGCCATTAGTTTTTATATTTCCCGATGCATGTAATTATGTGTGCGCGTAAAGAGCGTTTGGAAAAAAAAAAATAATAACAATAATCATACCATCACGTAGGTATGCACGAGTTTTAATAAACGACGCCGTTTTAATTTATCTCTCCAATTACGGGGTGTACTAGAGAATGAATTATGTAACGGTGATTGTAACATTTTATGACCGATTTTCCTCTTCAAACGCAAGATTTATATACACAGACGGCACCGATGTCGAAGTAAACGCTCTCGAGCGACATGTAAATTCAACAGTATACAATGACCATAAAAACGAGTGCAATGCACTGTATGAAATAAAAATCGGTATGGAAGACGATGAAAAAAAAAAAAAAAAAAGAAAAAAAGTCAAGTCAAACGACCTTGTATGCCCTGCAGCTCCGAGAGTGCTCCTTCCAGTGCTGCTTCTGATGATCTCGACTGCAATAAAAGACGGACCTGCATCCTCCACACTTCTGTTTCGCCGATATTTTGCAAACAGCGCAGGTATCCTCGTCCATGTCCACGTGTATTTTTTTAGCAATTACCAAAAGTAATGATAGCCAGCAAAGCCCGACTGGATCTTTGGACCGGCAAAGTCCGGCAGTGACTGAACACTGGGAGCCCCTGTTCTCACTTTGGGAGCCGTCCTAACAAGAGCCTATTAATAGGACCGGCCTCTGCGTGCACGCTAAAAGACAAGAGCGGAGAGTATAAAGAGCCTCGCGTCCATACTTACGTGGAACAAGTGCTCACTTGCATGCAGGGCCGCATTTTCATTATTGTTTTAAACTTTTTTCCCAATCGGCTCCAACATGAATTCAAACAATAATGTATATGGATAATCACGGAAAATATACATGCACCTACTCGAAGTGCGACTTTTGTCGCTTTGAAGCGTATTGCGTATAATTAGTCATAACTGAGAAAGATATGCACGCTGTTAGTTGGACCTTTTCCAAGTATTACGTGCTTGGAAAAAAAAAAAAAAAAAAAATTAAATTAAGGTATTTCTAGTAAAAATCGTGTAAAATGGGATGATGAACATGAAATAATTGCACAGATAAGCTTTATTTTTATGCATTGTTTTTATTTTTTTATTTTTAATATTAATCGAGCACTTGGTTCTTGATCGTAAAAATGTGTTATCAGCGACATTTCCGTTTGTTTCATTTATTATGATCAAGCAAGTTAAGATTCAGTTCAGTTCAGTTGGGTTTTTTTTGCGTATCGATTTTTCGCACGTTACGTAGAAATAAACGTTGTTGCTGTTGCTATATTTATTTGTCATATACGTGACTCTATAATTAGTATTAATATTTAAAAAATCACCTAACACGGTGACTTGCAGCTATACAAATTAGGTACTAAGAGTGGGATGGGATGATGACGTACTTATAAGTAAAAGTTTTATATTCATTGTTATACTTGCTTATTTCGTAAGTATAGATCAACAATCACAGATACATACAATCTAATCTCACATGTGTCGTCGCACGCGAGCGGACGTTTTTCACGTTATATTAACGGTACACAGACCTGCAGTACAGAGAAAAAAAAAAAAAAAAACAAACGAAAACTTTTAAAAAAAAAATTTCCCCAAATGTTTTTTTTTTTTTTTTTTTTTTTTTTTTAATGCATCGATACGTATAATAAGACATTACAGGGAATTCGAGATCTCTGTTTCAGACAATAGTTTACATTACATTGTCGATGTACAAATAAAAGTAGCAAAACATTTTTATTGTTTCCTTTTTTACATTAACTTCGGAATAAAAACTAGATTCGCATGTAATTGTTTGAACCTACGAGGCGATAAATTCAATTTTTTACTGGTTGTGAAATTAAATATTTATGAGTTACAAATGAATCGTGAAATCGGTATACACATTTACAGTTTTCGTTCTACATACTCAGATTTTTATGAATAATTTATGCCGTTTGTAATACTCACGAGCATTTTACCATATAGAAATATACAAGTGTGCGATTTTCATTTTTGCAATTTGCAACGATTTAAAATGTGTGATCGAAATTCAATTGCATTACAAGTGATGAGTACACAAATAAGTTGCGGTATTGAAAGAGTTTTGTTTACAACTCGGTGTAAATAATAATACGTGTCTTAATGTGATTTGAATATAATGTGTAATTAATAATTCTGGCTACGTATAATACTGGCAAGTGCAGCGATACATCGCAATGATTATCGGATTATCATATCGTTCTATTAAATGATACGTTGATTTTTTACGGATTATACACACGCATCATGAGTATACGAATCGTGCGTTTGATACAATTTTCATTATGTTGTTATTACGGTGCGGAAAAACGTATGGACTGTTATACATTTCAGAGTGTTATATGCAAGAACAAGGAATACTCTCTTATACATTCACATGCGCGTACGCTAATGTACATTTTTTCATATTGCACTTTTCGTTAAGAATCTAGCGTTGCTGGTCAGCGCCTTTTGAACACGTATGTGCCTACTATTGCGTCAATAAACTCAAGTCGCATATAGAATTCGGATGAAAATTAAATGACAAATTGAATAAATTGTTTGCATCTCATTTCAGGTCTGGTAGTCATTGTAAAAAAATAACATAAAGAAGAAAAAAGTATACTTTTCACCCGAATCGACTATTAAAAACGAAAAAAAAAAAAAAACTTGCACAGAAAGCCCAGACTATTAATAACAATAACAAAATTATATACGTATAAACTAAAAAAATTGGCAATCTCGATTTATCCGTCAGTTCAGCGCAATTGCAAATTGACTTATCAAAAAATTGGCAATTCGTTCTAAGCCATGCATGCAGGCGCACATAAAAAATTAATGTAGAAACAATAAAGTGAGGAGACAAGAATAATTTATACTGAAAAGAAGTCGAAAGATTCACGCAAATAATTCTATCGGTTTCGACAACCCCCGATGATTTTCACTCGCTTAACACACAGTTATCTTTGTGATTATTACATTATGATTTACTTATAAACGTCGCAATAATCGCATAAAGTAGTCGCAAATACACTCATACCACATACAGACCGCATTGAACATTTTCTACAATTTAGAAAAATCATCAGTGAACCAGGGTTGTTTCAAGCAATTTATGTTAGTAAATTTTATGTCGGTACAATTTATCTTACAAAAGAAATCGCTCTGTATCCTAGCTATATTCGCTTTGAAATAAAAAGATTTATAATAAAAATGAAAAAGCAAGCAGCAAAAGCAAACCGAATATTAATTGTAAAATATAAATGAATTATGCCAAGGTCTTACTTAACTATAGATAAAAGATTAAAATATCATCGGTGTGATATTGAAGCTGTAAAATTATTTCAATGAAAACTGCTAATTTCATACGTGTCCTCATTATTATTTTTTTGCTTACATATATCAGGACGATATCACTATGTAAGTGACGTGGAATTATATATATTTATGTGTGTTATGTTTGAGGATCAGCGAATACGACTAGAGGACTGGGCTCCATATAAAAATAGTTATTTTAGTTCCTACAGTTTAGTTGACGTTTGCAGTAATCTTATCATTTTGTACGTACTAAGCAAATTCACATTCGTTTGCTGTATTAATAGATGAGTATTAAAAGTCGTCTACTACTGCTGCAAGCTTTAAAATAATTTAAGTAAAAAAAAAAAAAAATTCGAATGGTAAAAAATGGTACAGAGCATTTGATGCCTTTTGTAAAAAGAGTTGGCGTTTATGAGTGTATAATCGTCAGATCTCAGGAAATCGCTGCAAGCGCAAAAAAACAGTTGAAGGGCTAAAAGCTCGTACATTAATGCAACTTTTGAAAAATCGCGAAGATGTGGCGCCACAATCACATACTAACTTATTATCATACGCTTTACTTATTTACTTTTATGTATTGTGTATATAATATATCATTATTTTCACTTTATTAAAATTATAGGTACAATACTTTTAAAAACGTTCACGACTATGCACGTACATAGGTATTTTATAATGAATACAGGAATCTTAAAGTACTTTCTGAGCGCTTAATTTCTGTCACATGATGAATAATTTTTCAAATCACTTTTGTATTTCAAGTTTTTTTTTTCCATTAACAATATTGAAACAAATACTTACTATGATATATATCTACAATTTTTTGTTTATAAATTATAATAATGATATTTGTTGTAACTAAGATGAATTTGGCAAGTTCATATTAATTATCCTTATAAAAGATAAGTTTCTCCTGAAGATCATGTTTGTGTTGTGATAAGAAAAATAATATCTCGCCATTTCTACTACATTAGTTAGATTGTTTGGATTACTTCATGCAGGCAAAATTTATAGAAGAATATAATGTATGTTTCGACCATGACTCGAAGGTACACAGAGAAAACTCACAAATAAAAGATTTTTCAAAAATGTAAACGTATAAAAAAAACCAATTAAAATTTTTGAAAAAGTCGTTTCCCGTATAGTTGGTAAATAAAGGAGGCTCTAAAACTGTACCGTCAAACGAGAAAGAAAAAAAAAACGTAAGTCTCTATATCCGTGAAGTATACATACAACGAGCGATGAGGTGACTTTACCAATAACGCGAAGTAATAACATATGAATGCGACGTATGACGAAAAACGGATACATGTATGTATAGGAGCGATACGAAACATTGGCTGTCCGGTGCGGGTGTACGTGCACATCGGGTATACAATACATTGTCATGATAATGATTTGATTAATCGGCGCACATCAAAAGATATATACCGTGTGGTCATGATATCCACGACCGATGGTATATTATTATCATCACCAGCAGAATACCGATAGCTCCTTGCCGTGCTCGCTAGTGTGCCTCCACGCGGTCACTGCCTGGGTTTTCATCTGCAATGCCAATCGTTATCTCAGCTTTGTTTTGATGAGAGAACGAACAGCCTGTCCGCCGCCTTAAGCCAAAGCCAACATGAAGTTTTAGCGTTTTAGTGTTTTGATTAATGCCAGATTTCTTTTTTTTTTTTAATCATTCATTGAATAAAAAAACAAACAGACAACAGCTACATAGTATAACACAGCAGGCACGAGAAAAACCAACCAAGGAGGTGCTTAGGAGGGGAAAAGTCGGCACAATGAAAGAGCGCGACCCTCTCTTAGCGTCAGCAGCGACGGGGTTGACTATATTTTTTTATAATATGCGCCCTCTCCCAGCGAGCAAAAAAATTGAGCAAGTGCGAGGGGGAAGGGAGGAAAATGAGGCAAAAAAATCAAGAGCAGGGTAGAGAGAGAGAGAGAGAGAGAGAGAGAGAGAGAGAGGACGGAGTTTAGATTTAATAAGTCAAGATGTCCGGAGCTCTGTACGTAGGTACATATATGTAAGGGCGTGGCTCGCGAAAATGCTCAACGAGGGCTGCAAGCTTGCGTCTCTTTCACCTTCTGCCCGAGTGTACTCGGATATCTGTACGATATGCATACCATATATTTACACATCCGCGCCCACCGAGGACACCACGGAGTATTATACGTACGCACGAGCCGAGCGAGAGATCTATAGATCTATAGAGAGATATATATAGTAAGCGCCACATGATGGCTCTGTCGGTAGCGTGTCTGCCTACTGATCTTGATGGCCGGGGTTCAAATCCCACTCTGGACAAAAGTTCATCATTGAATGAGGTTTTTTTCTGGATGGGAGTTGTACTTCAATAAACCTACCGATCCATCTACCGATTCCTCCTACTGTTATTAAACCCAACGTATGGCTAAATACACTTTATGGTGTCAAAATAGCCATGTCTGAGCCCTTAAGGGGCGATGATGAATATAAAAAAACAAAAAAAAGATATATATAGTACGCTTTACTATACGCGCGAGAGTATATATATATACTGTTACGGGGTGGACCACGCGGATTGACGAGGTGGAGTCTCTCCACTTCGACCGGGCCTGGGTTGCCCGGATACCCAACGGTGACACTCCCTGTAATATATTTTGCGAGTCTCGTTCGCCGAGACACCGCTGTTGGATCAGGTATCGCGGTGACCTTACACGTCGTCGCCTCTCGCGACGACTATAACACGGCACAACGGGGGATCGGGCACACAATGAAAGGAAGTAGCACTCGCGGTTATTTTTTTGTTAATAAAAATGTATATTCAAGGAATATGAATTGATTACAAGAAAAGGTATTCGCGGGTGTGTGTGTGTGTGCGTGTGTGTGTTTAATTCTCGCACGTCGAGCGCGCTTGCTCGACGTGCTCGCGGCGCGAAAACGCGAACCGGGCAGATCTACGCGGGCTAATTTAGGGCCGCTGCCCTTTACAACAGACTGCCTGTTGGCAGGTACTTACGCGGGGCGGGAAGGTCGCTTCTCGCAGCTGCCTTGGATAGGCCGAACTAGATGTGGTTGGTGTGATCTCGCAGAGGCCAGTAGGCGTCCCTACTGGCTGTGTGTGGAGATCAAGGTCGTCAGACCTGGACTTGGTCTGCCCTTGTCGTCGGTTTCCAGAGCCAGATCACGACACCAACACTTTCCGTGGCGTTGACTTCGCACCACCACTTCTCACAGGAACCAAAAAAAAACGAACCAAAAAGCGAACAACAAAGCAACAGGAGACGGCAACACGGAAAAAACTCGCTTCGCGCGCGTTCGCTGGCCCAAGCTAATCTAATCTCTCCTCGTTTCCCTTCCTTACTTTCCTCTCTTTTCCCTTACCCCTACTTTCCCACTTAGGTCCCTTGAACTCTTTTTCCCCCTATCTCTACCCGCCCTAGCCTACTAACTTGGCCTAACGGTGGGGCACCGTTACAATACATGCGCGTGGTACACAAAGAAAGGACATGTGGGTGGCGGAAGAGAGAGGGGTCGCGGAAAATATCGGACCATTCAAGGCAAGAGAGGGGTGGCTATTGCCGCCGGGAGAGTACATAACATGTGTATAGAGTAGAAATAGTAGAACGAGGGTAAGTATACGTGCACGAGAGAGCGCGGGCGTGCAAATGCAAGGTATCGGTATGTGTGTGTGTGTGTGTGTGTGTGTGTGTGTGTGTGTGTGTGTGTGTGTGTGGGTGTGGGTGTGTGTGTGTATCAAGAGGAGAGCAAGAGAGGATAGGAGGGGTATATCGTACTACGGAAACTACGCTAGCGTACGAGTCGCGTACCTTATATATACACGTAAGCGCACGCTCTCTCTTGTCACGATTCTTTCTTCTTTCTTTGGCTATATGTATATACTTTTATACACCACACATTACCTCTCTACGTTGCAACGTGACTAACGTTCTCACAATTAAAGTACCCGATAATTGTTGTCAAGCAATCATGATGCCGAGCCGATCTGATTGACCGATGCGAGCAAAGCGATTTTTTTTTTTTTTCGTCATTTCGATTTTGTATACGGTAAATGGAGTGCGTGTCATTTGTTTGTCAAGCATTTGATTTATGAAATCAAGTTGTTAAGTGCCCATTAAGCTCCGCGTGCTGCTACTATACGTAGCTTGTAGTTGTTTTTTTTTTAATTTCAATGGCTTAATGGAGAAAGGTGCATGATGGAGTGGTGGCAATCGATTAGCGTGCGTGACATTAGGCATTTACGTGAGAGGCTTAATGTTTTTTTTTCAGAGCTAGCTTATCGCAAAGTGCGATCAAAGGAGCTGGGGAAATGGCTTCGGGGTAAAAAGCTGGGTCGATTGATTAATAAAAGGGAAGAAAAAAAAAAAAAAAATGCGTTAAGAACCGCGGGCAAGGGAGTATAGGCAAGCAAGGCTATAGTGTAGAAACACCGAGTGAAGTAATAATCATCGTGCGTATACCTGTTGCATCTTCTCAAAGTCGAGACACGGCCTAGGCAGCCTGTGGGGCGGCCTGTGCCGCTTTCTCGGGCTGCACGCGCTGACGACGTCGATATCAGCCAAGTCTTGCTGCTGGTGTTGGCTGTGCTGTTGGAGCGGCTGAAAGTGATGATGGTGATGATAGTGGTGGTGATGGTGGTGATGGTCGAGGTTCACGTGCGAGTGATACTGCGAGCTCAGCCTCGGCCTCGAGCGCGGCCTGTGCGGGTGGAAGCGCGGCTCCGTCGCCGCGGAGAAGGCCGACGCGTGGAAGAGCTTTGGCGGCGGCGAGAGCGACCGCACCGGCTTGTGGGCGTCGCTCGGCGGTGAGCTACGAAACTGCACCGGCTGCGAGATCGCGCTACCGCTCCTGCTGCTAAAGCCCAAACCCTGCACGGAGGAGACAAAAATCGGTCAGCTGTACCGTAACGGGTGGTGATAAAAAAAAAACAGAACAATTAAACGGAAAGGCTTGTGGTGGTACCTCCTCGTCGCTAGAGCCGGAGCCCGTTTCCCTGCCGACTCTGCTGACCGGGGCAGAGTAGGCAGCTGCCACGGAGTTGTCCCCATCGCCGGGCTGCTGGCTGTTGGCCTCGGACCATTTCCGCTTCTCGGGCGCTGCGCTGAAGAGCTTCCGTGGCTGTGGGGGCACCTGGGCGGCCGTCTCGACGAGCTTCGGCCCGTTTATGACCTCGAGTTCCTCCTCGGAGCTGTGCTGGTCGGTCTGGGCGAGTTGGAGCAGGAACTCGTACGACTGCTCGATCGGTGGGGTCTCGGTACTGCTGCAGCCGCTACTGCTGCTGGCCGCTTGGACCACCGGCAAGCCAAACGAAGACGACGAGGGCGACGCGCCCAGGTCCACGTCGGACGGTACTGCGCTGTCCCGGGCGTTCTCGACCGCCATCGCGGCCGCTGATGTCGCCTCCTCCACCTCCTCCAGGCTGTCCATTGCTGAAACAAGATAACCGGACCCTCGCGTTAAACACTCCTTTTTGGGGAAAAAACAACTATCTTTTTTTTTTTTTTTTCAATCAATTGTACTTCAAAAAGGAAAGAAACTCCAAGAGTTTTTCCATTAAAGGCTAAAAGAAGAATACTATAGTGGACTTGTTTACGTGACCTATNTTCCTTACAACATACATAATATATATATTTCATAAACTATCTTTTTTTTTTTTTTTTCAATCAATTGTACTTCAAAAAGGAAAGAAACTCCAAGAGTTTTTCCATTAAAGGCTAAAAGAAGAATACTATAGTGGACTTGTTTACGTGACCTATTCGACACCACCAGCTGATCGATAGGTATAGTGTAAGCCGTCTCGCGTCGAGCTTTAACGCAAAAACATGAGTCACGCACAACCAAGTGTGTACGTGCGCTGCATCGTAAGGAGCGGAGGGGAGAGAAGAGGAATGAACGAAGAGCTTGCAAGCACACACCTCGCGATATGGGGACCGATTACTGGGGGAAAAAAAGTTCGGAAAAGCTTTTTGTAATTTATTTTGAATTATTCGATGATTCACTGGCAACCGACGAATATATATATGAGCAACGACTATTCTCGCAGTGCCAGACGAGACATTTCGAATCATTGGTCACAAATAAGAGAACGTAATCGCCACGTGTGTACGGCTAATGGACAACGCGGATAATCGACATAGCACAGAAGCGCGTCGTTGATATCGCAAAAGATAGACGTGCATTCATTCATTCACGTAAACACTCTCTATCGAACAATTAGCGCGTAAACGCGAATTTATTTACGGAACGCGTTGCGAAGAAGGAAAATAAGCAGAGATCGGTATTGGGTATACCTACATACGTGTGGTACAATTAACGAGGGATATACATACGTATATATATATATATATATACATACGTATATATATATACGCCTACCTACATAATATAATATACGTATACATACGTATATATATATATATAGACACACATACGTATATATATATATATACTTGTACCTACGGATATAACAATTAACGGCGAACAGTGTGATGTAAATAGTGGCCGATCACGTGCTCTGTGAGCACACGACTTTAATTTTAGATTGTTCGAAGCTTCGTCAATGTATATACAGTATCGCGGAGTGATCGTTTGCAATGGGTATATTCTCCATGTAACGTGTAATAGAGTACAAGCTCGCTTATACCTCCCACGTTACGTACATACGTTATTTATTCATTTATAAATCGAGTCTGGCTATATACGACGTATAGTTTTCCGCGTCAAAGTATATTTATACATGGCCGGAAAGAATCTAGTCAGGTTGTCATTGTTTCGCGATATACGTATGTACATAAATTAAGTACACGTGTCTTAACTTCCTCCACCTCCCCCTCGACAAATATCTAATACGTAAGACAAAGAGAGAGAGAGAGAGAGAGAGAGAGAGAGCGGTGGGCTCAAGAAATCTTATCGCATCGCATCGTCGCTTGCTTGTTCTTTCGAGTTAGTCACGGCTGCTTTATTTTATACTTTTCTATAGCACATATATAGGCACTCGTAGGCATATCCTATAATACACAAGATTTGCTTGCCGAGCCCCCCCGAGCTGTGTCTTTCATATGCGACGATTTTGCGATAGCCGGCCAACTATATAAGTAACCCGTACCAGCTGGTTCTTTATCTGTACATGTAACTCGGAAGTTGACCTGATGCCGAGCCGATCTGATTGACCGATGCGAGCAAAGCGATTTTTTTTTTTTTTCGTCATTTCGATTTTGTATACGGTAAATGGAGTGCGTGTCATTTGTTTGTCAAGCATTTGATTTATGAAATCAAGTTGTTAAGTGCCCATTAAGCTCCGCGTGCTNATTATACCCGTGCGTGTCAACAGCTATTTTCGTCTAGAATATATATGCAGGCTAGGGAATGAAAAAAAAAAAGTCATTGCACCGCGAGAGCAATTTTTTTTTATTTCTCTCTTTTACCAATCACCGAGAGTTAATTAATGAAAAAAAGTTGATTGTGCTTTTATTTGGATGCTAATTGTTTTCCATGCCACGTGAGCGCTACTTTCGTAAAATATTCTACAGATCGACTTTACAACATCATTGGGCAAAGTTTAGAAATAGGTGTGAAATCGAGTATTATCGATATAATAAATAAAAGATGTCATCATAAATTTGTTTGTTTTTTTTATTGAAGTCATTGTAATCGCGGAGAATTTGTTTTTTCAATTAATTATTTACAATTTTCATATCAAAAAGCCATTTGATTTAGAGTCTAAAAATATATATTCGCGCCTGCAGATTCAAGATAAATAAAGTAAAAAGAGGACGTTTTATGCATTTTAAATTTGTAACGTTTAAAGTGTGTCGCATAATAAGCACGGCATTAATACCACGCATGCAACGTAACGCAATCTCTTTTCTTCTTCTTCTTTTTCTAATGTTGCGCCATGATTATTCGATAATTTCCTTTATTTGTGATTTTTCATCAACAATGTAAAGAAAAAAAAACATATCGATTGGTGTGAAAGAAAAATAACTCCAAACTATGTTACCTGTGGAAACTTCGTCGGCAATGTTCCCTCCATTTTGGAATTCATCATCGGATTCAGTCCCTGAATCCCGATCATCGTCCGCCTGAAAATAATTTCATAATGAATATTTTATAAAAATTAAAAAAAAGAGTTTAAATAGTAATTGTCAAGACTTGTCAACTGATATTGTGTTAAAAGAATATTAACGAAACTGAATGTATATACGTTAACCATTAATTGTGATTTTACTCATTTGTTTGCAATTATAATGTAATTCTTGATAAACCGCGCTTTATTCCGAAAGAAATATTTCTGGTGCGTGTAAAAAGTGCTGTTCGACTAATCGTTCGTTATCACGTCTGGTACATTAAAATGCCATTATTACGCTTACAAGGACTTTCGTACGATTTTCGATAATTTTTTTTCAACATTTCCGCATCGTACATCAATAAAGACAAACGATTCATTAACACAAATAGTAAATGAATCCACGTGTACCAGTGACGCGATGTTCCAACCACAAGTCGGTAATTACGTTTAAAACGAGGTTTTAAATAGCTGTTAAAGTTGTTGGTATTATTTCTGCTTTGTAAAGTGCAATGTGCGATGCAAACAAGTTGCTGCACCCAAATAAGTTTTCGTGAGAAGTTTCATTATTTACAACTAAAACATCACGAATCTGGAATGCTGAGTGCCTCTGTATTGAAATTTATTATTACAAGTGCTGAATTTATTTAAAAAACTGATAAATAGTATCACAAGAAGAGTATATATATAAACACGTATATATTTATACAATTGAAAGTAAAAGGACATAAAGCTAACTTTCATACTAATATAAATCGATTAGAATCATTACACTATATGATAACTATTTAAAGACATGATGAGCAACGTAATCCCGATAAGTACGTGTTGTGTATTTATAAACCAAAAGTACACTTTTATGTGTATATTTACGAGAATTCATTTCATTGTTCATTAAGTAAACTCCTGATTTTACTATCATGTCATATTATATTTACCTCTTATCAACAAAAATATAAACCAGCTTTTATACGATCGAAAAAAAAGCTTCCTTACAACATACATAATATATATATTTCATAATATTCAACGCGTTTCTCTGATAAAAATTATTTTATCAAAGAAATAATAGGATTTTAATTGACGTACTGCGGCATTTATGATATATGTCAATTAATTTCAAATAGAAAAAAGCACATGAATAGAAAATATTCCGATGTAATCTATTTTATTTAATGGCCCATTCATGCATGAAGCTTTCTTGGTTCCAGAATAATAATCATGATGTTTAAAAAATAAAAAGTAAACCATCAAAACTAAAAATCTTTTCAATGTAACCTTGCAAAAGTACCGTGACAGTTTCCCTTAGCCATGTTTCAATTTTATTTACTGACCTTTTTATTAAGATTTTCTCTTCATTAACGTACAAAACGTAAAAGATAATCTACAACGCATTCATTGTTCGGGTGCTTCGAGGAACATTAAGAGTTCGATAAACACCGAAAACACGATGATAAAAAAAATATTCGTATAGCTTAATATATACCGTGTACATGCACACGGACTCCGAAAATAAAAGCTAGTCTAAAAAGACAAGAAGAAATTTGTCACCGCCATTAAAACAATATATTACACGTTTGCCACGGAAATTTTGAAAATGTACAAAAATAAACAAACGTCACGTATGTACTTATCACCTAAACACAAGCTCGTGGATTTTAACATCAAAACAACGTTACGGAGAAAAGAAAAAACGAAGCAAGTAGATAGACACGGTAACATACAATCAATCGTATACGTGTAGGAGAGTGGGTACGTAATACAGGATATACACATTGCGGAGTTTTCGCATTCATAACCTACCTTGGGATCCTCGTTGAGGGAATGGCTCCGGAGCTTGTGCGTGAGAAACTTGAGCATGATCCCGTCGACTCTCGGCGCAGTCGCTGGAGCCGCGGACGCTGTCGCCGGGTCGGTCATCTTCGCGTCCCTTATCAGCAGCTCCCCTTCGGTGGGGATTAAAACGGGATCGCGTGTGGAGGGTAAACAAACGCGAAGCACACACAGACCCCTTGTTTTAAATCTCGCGATGGCTGCCGAACGATGCAGGGGAGGCTCCCGGCTAGATAAGCGTCTCTCTCGCCGCCACCCCCGCTATGTGTATACGTGTATGCACACACTCTACTGCTCTCTGCGCCGGTAGGCTGTTACTACGGTTAATCACACATTTTTTCGTCCACCCGTGCACTGCTCCTTTTTCACGCCGATGAAGATCGATTCGCCTCCTTTTTTTTTATCTTGCAGTACCGATGGACGCTCGTCACGAGCTGCAGATGATGATGATGATGGGACTCGGTACCAACAACACCACGAACTCGACGACCAAGAAGGTAAGTAGGTACTATCTACCGTATACAGCCGACAGCAAGCACATCACGGTCTGCACTGTCTCTACGCGCACATATATTTTGATACGCGCGCAGTCAACTCAAACGTGCACGTATAATATTATATTATGTATGTATGTTACACACTGTTGTGTAAGTACACATGCACAGATGTCCAGCACTTTTTGATTTTTATACCTCCTCACTAGGTATACAAATACAACACAAAGCTGTTCATTAATGCCCCGGTTGAAGTTTCACTGTGCCTCTCAAGACCCTGATCCGCGGGTATACCCATATCACTTGACGTATCCGGTTGATGATCCACCGTGCACTTTTCCAAATTTCATTCACGAAAAGGAGCGAGCGAGAGTCGTTCCGAGGAGCTCCGAAAAAGAGATGGCAGCTGCTCCATTATATGTACTGCAGGGCCGTGCGTGCCTGCCCGGCGTCCTCGTACACCCATATACATGTAGTTCGACGTGGTTGTATAATACCCTGCGTTCCGATGGACTGCTTTTACCGCATATTCTCGGAGCCTTGAAACGCACTGCCTGCAACAGGACAAGGAGAACAAAATGTAAGTCACTCGGTCAATGGTAGGGGTAGGTGATGTTTCACAGACTTTTTTTTTTCCCTCCCTTATACACATGCATACATACAATACAAGTATCATATTGTTAATTTTATCTCGATTAACTGCCGTGCGTAAATGATATTCAGGACAACGAGTGCCCATACGAGTATATATATTACATACGTACTCGTATATACCAAAAGATAAGGTTTTTACACTTTGAGAGTGGGCGGGAGGAGGAGAATACGCAAGTATTACAAAACGAGTTTCCATTCGGGGTCTCCCTGGGCGGCTGTAGTATTTTTCTTTTCTTCCCCCCTCCCGATACCCCGGGGAAGAGGACCTGGCCGGTTCTCGCGTGCGCGCAATACACACACGCACCATGTGTATACGTATACGCTTTCACTTTTCGGCGTGAGTTGCCGTCTTTTCCCTCTTTTCCTCCGACTTTTGACCGAAGCCAGGGGGGGAGAACGTGTCGCACAATAACAACCGGTGCCTGCAGTTATATTACATATACACCTTTAGGGGCAGAAAAAAAATTGAAGGAAATATGCACTATCTTTTGAACCCGTGTTCGGAAAGAAAAAAAGAGAGAGAGAGAGAGAGAGCTTACGACGGTTGGACTGCTGAAAAGTGAATAGAAATAAAACTCGGTGCTTTTAGTGTGGGGTGCGGCGCTATGTAGATCAATGGAAGAAAAAAAACAAAAAAACAACCAAGCATTCAGTGCGTGACTGGTGATTGTAAATCTTCGATGGAGATCTGATACGTATCAATATAGTATAGGAGGGGCCGACTCCATCAGCGACGCGATTGAAAATAAAAACAGCCCGTTGAGACTGTGAAACCTACCTTGGTAGACCTCGATTTATAATCTAAAGTCCAATCAGTGTGTACGGGTCCACCAAACGGCTATACTTATTCCACGGTTCTGGTGCCAGAAATCAAGTAGGTGCACACAATAGACAATGTCAGTTAAGATATTTGTATGAATAATATACCACCTGTATATTATTATTATTATTATTATTATTATTATTACCTCCATGAGAAACGTGGAAATCAACTTCTTACAAACAGGTACTAACTTATTGTAAACAAAGCGCGAGCCACTGCGGGATTTACAATTATAGTTGGAGACAAACATTATAGAAGCAAAGAGAGGAATTAATAAGAGCTGAAGAAAAATGCGGCATCGGAGCAACTGGAGAATTAAAACGAGGGCCCGAGCGAAGAAGAATGAAAGCGCGCGCGATGCGAGACAGAATGAGACGGATGGAGTATATATAATACTTATGTATAATGATGGAAAAAAAAAAAAAAAAAAAAAAAACGAGGAAGAGAGAGGGTCAGTGCAGCGGAAGGAGGAGGGAGTAGCATCATCGTAAGAGCCGCGGTAAAGACCGGCAGAGAACGAAGAAGGTATAAAAGAGGGTGAGAAAAGTTATACGCGCCCCTTTGCTCCCCCCCCCCTCCTCGTATTTATTCATTTTTATCTCTCCCTTTCGACTTGCTTATTCTTCTGCCTTTTGTACACACGCGCGAGTATGTTTTCAATGAATGGGTCGACCGGAGTGCGGAGGGGGTAAAAAACTTTTCCCCCCATTACCTATGCTCGCTCTCGTGCGGTGTGTGGAGAATCAATGGTGCATGGTGATGGTAAATGCTATACGATCGTAGGTCAGACGTTCTTTCATTGATTAACCGAACCGAAAATTCTCTTTGTTTTCAAGTCATTTAATTTTTATGAATATTTAAAAAAAAACACATCGTTATGCATAATATCACGTATGCGTTTTATTTTTGCAATAAAGTTTAAGTGGCGATTTAAAAAAAAAGCTAAATTTACAGCAGTAAAGAACTAGTTGTTCATTCATTTGCTTATTTGCTTCCTTTGGAGAAAAACTTTTTGTAAAAGATCATTGTTGGTCATTATTCGTTGGTTGGAAAGGCTTTTTAGCGCAAGTGTAAAATTCAGTGTTCGAGCAACCTCTTGCAAACGGACCAACCCGGTGCTGATATATGCCTTAAAAAAAATTGATTTCACGCTCAAAAGCAGAAACGACCGAATGTTTTCTTTTTGAAGGAAAAAAAAAAAAGCAAAATCGGCACACATGCCCTAACGCACGCACGTATACATTGTGTATACCCACGGGCACACTGCACCTATGCTATCCATCCAGACTTTACTCGCCGGCAAGCTATCCTTTTTTTCTTCTGTTAACCAATGCATTCCGCATTCCGCTCTTTTCTTACACCCTCCGCCCCCGTTTTTTCTCCCAAACAACATTTACGACGGCCGGTCCACTAAGGAACTTTTGTTGAGTTATTGAAACGAAACACGTAAGTACACAAGAAACCGAGGATGGTTTTTTTTTTTTTTTTTTACTTTTTAGCTTCGTATCAAGTATACATAATATATGTGTGTATTGTACGTACGTAATTATATTATGACGTAACAGTGATGTACTTTGGTATTTCACCGTCGAACGCGGGAAAGGGGCGAGAAAAAAAGAGGTGGCAACTTATCCCTCGCCGGCTTGTCCGAAATCAATCGAGCCCGAGCCAAAAGTTCAGCGATGCAGTGTATATATGCACGTGCAGCAGCGTCTCAAGGTCTCCCGTGTGTTGGGGGTTGCAAGGGAAGGGAGGAGGGTCGAAAAAGGATGAAAGGAGGAGGAGGAAGAGGCTCCCACTTTAATATACCCGCGTACCAGCCGCGTACACCTACTACAGTGTGTGCACAACGTATACGTGTATTGGTATGTGTTGAAAGAGGCGCTTACGTGTACGTGTTAATATAGGTGTACGAGTAAACACACCCACGACACAACGAGCACAACGATGAAAATTTCGGAGTCGCGCGTAAAGATCAGTCTCCTCCTTCTCTCTTGATGGCTGAGGGGGAGCCTCTATTTCTCTCGAGGTGCAGCTTCGCCATTGATCGAGAGAGAAAGGGACAAGAAAGAGGAGGTGGCGCGGAGAAAGAGGGACGAATAAGGGGTACGAAAGGCGCGGAGAAGCAGAGAAAGGTCGACTGGCTCTCGAGTCTCTCTACGCTCACCATGTGTGCATACTATGTACTACTACGAGAGTGTAAGGTACACTATAGCAGGTCGCGACTTTTCCTCCTCCTCCTCCTCCTCCTCGCCGCCACTGCTCCTTTTTGCTAAGCTATAGGTGGGCGGTGTGCGCAGACTCTTCAATGGACAGTGCGCCGAGATATATATTCCTCTTGGCTTTAGCTCTTACGTGTGTAATTATATGTTATATATACAAGGATGATGCTGTCTATTACGTTTTCTTTGCTCCGAGAGTTATACATGCCCTTCCTTATTTGTTTCCACGCATGTATACATGTAGGTATGTATATATATCAACATTGGCGTGGAAACTTATTTTCTCTTCTCCTTATGGCACCCTAGAGCCAAACAATGGGTCGGTATGGATGGGGAGCGTTTTGCCACGATTGGACAGTACTGTGAAGGATCTTTCAAAAGCACCACCATTGAACAAAGCAGAAGATTATGTGGCGATAATTGACAAAAAAAAAAAAAAAAAAAAAAAATATCCAAAGCCGGACGTGGCGATTCGGAGGCGGTTTATTAAAAAGCTATTGCAGCAAAACAAAAATCGTAAAAGATGACATTTTTCATTCAAGAACTTTCTTTGCACTTGTATTTATTTTTGTGTGGTATACTGATGCGAAAAAAAAAAAAAAAAAAATATCCATACGAACAGGTAAAAGACCCGAGCCAACGCGTTGAACAAACGCGCCTCTGAAAAAACCAAGCAAAACCAATAAAAGTGATCGTAAGAATGTCTGTGATCGCAGGTCATNACTAAAAAAGAAAAAGGGCGTTAGATACGAATCGTTGCAGTAATTTTTGCTGACTTAATTCAACTATGCCGGTTTTGTCAATGATTAGTTGCCACACCATAAGCTATGCACATGATTAAAGAAAAATACAAAGTATATAATCCCAAGTGATGGATATCTGTACTGCAGGGGATCAAAGTAAAGAGTATTTGTAAAAACTTGTATACACGTAACTTGGGTAGTACTGTAAGAAAGGCGAGTCTATATGTGTAAAATAAAACGAGAATGAAAGAGCAAGAGGGGGGGGGGGTAAGCGATAAGAAAAGGATGAAAAAGGGAGGGGTATAGTGTAAAAGTGGTGAGCATTTCTTGGTTTGAGAATACAAGCAAGAGAAAAGATCACAGGGTACAGATGTACATAGAAGTTGGTAATTATGTAGAAATAAGGAGGAAATTGTGGAATGAGAGGTTACAAAACAGTTCGTTTTTTCTTTCCCTTCTGTGCAATAAGTATAACTCTGTGAAAACTCAGTCTTATCTTTGCAGTAATACGTATATACTCATAATAATACAAGTACATTCAAGCAACAGCGTAATACTGGCATATATGTATATACACAAATCATAATGATGATAGTATCGTTAGTAGTAGATATAGTAGCGGTAGTAGTAACGATCGTAGTAAGCATGTATACATACATACACGCTCAGTAGTAGCAGCAGCCGTATATATCGTGTGTATATAGTAATCGTAGTAGAGTAGCAGTAGTATATGATAATCATAATAATCATAATAATAATAATAACAATAATAATAATAATAATAATAATAATGATGATTGTAGCCGGAGTATATACAGTATAGAAGGTAATGGCAGCTTTTTACCTCTCAAAGATAGGGAGAACAAGGTCTGTGTATGATACGGTAGTCACTGAAGTTTTGGAGTCGTCCTGATGGTCGTATGTAGATATGGTATGGGGGTAATACCGCGATGGACCGAAGAACTGTATTATTTATTCATTTTTTTTTTTTTTTTTTTACAATAAGTACTTGCACAAACTTCTCACACAAAAAACCGACAGACTTCCCGGAAACAGAAGCTTTTTTTTAGCCGCACACGGGCAAAAAATATATACGCTGATGCACACACACGCACACACAAACGGACTCACCTCGAGCACAATGAGATCGCCGCCACCGCAATCACCGCAGTATAACCATTCTCTCGAAGTCAGGGTCTTCCGGGAGCGCCGTATACGTATAAGTACGTATATATATATATAGCGATTACCCTAGCTGCTGTACGTATAGCGTGTATTATTTATATATATATTATATACGTGCTAAAAAAGCTCGTAGAATGGCGTTACTCCGCGCGGGAGGCTCGTACTCTACTCGTTTGTACGCTCGCGTCGTGTCTTGCTGGGATGCCTCTCTCGCGTTGTGCGTCGATCCCCTCGTCTCTCCTCTCCTTCCTCTCGCCTCACCGCAATGTACACACACACACTTGGTTATTTCTCTCTCTCTCTTTTTCTGTCTCCCTCCCTCCTCGTCCACCCTTCACACCTCCGTTGTTCCAAAACCAGTTCGTTGAGTACTATACATACACACATAAAATATGCATACATCTCTCGGAGTGGTGTTCCGAAATTCATTTCATATCAGCTGATCAAAACAGAGTATCTCCCCGAAGCCCCCTGTGCGAACAGTAGATAAGGATAAGATTAACTTTTAAGCTCCGCGCCTCTACCTTTTGAATTTCGGAACGCAGCAAAGGGGGTCTCTTTCTCTCTGGTGTGTGATGATGCCGATGATGCGTCGTTTGCGTATTAAGTATTTTTGTACTTGCGCTTGCACGGGTCACGGGTCCGTCTTACTTATTTGATGTTTGGAGATTTTGTACTGTCGCTGAGGTGATATCATTCATCGGTTAAAAGACTTTACTTACTGTGAGTTATTCATGTTGCAAGAGGTGGAGGAGAGCAGTTGAAAAACACCTGAGACTCTTTTGCTAGCCGTAATCACAGTACTACGTTCGAACTATTGGAGCAAATTATTCAATTATCGGGAAATTGCTGTACCCTCCTGCAGACTTAGGAAATTTTGTGTATGGAACATCGGGGGAACACGTTTACCTTATACGGGACACTCTCTGAAACCTTTTTTTTTTTTTTTTTTTTTTTTTAACAAAAACGCACCTCCGAAGTTTACTCAAATAAATAAATATAGTCATATTTCGTATCGTTGATTATTTTTATTGTAAAATTTAAGAAAAAGATATATATATATATTGCACTAGTTAAATACAAAAAAATGTACATCATCCTTGCTTCCAATTCGCATATAATAAATAATCCAATGGTTTAATTTTGATTTACCCACACGAGTCAAATTTATCCGTTATACATAACGTCGTGTCCATATACATATAACACTGCTTATAAATAAGGAGAGAACTGATTATCTGAACGTATTTACAATAAATTAAGACAGTATTCTTCCAAATATTTACAAAAGTACAGAACATTTTTATAAAAAATACGTCACGTAGCAATAGTCACAAAATTTACAATGGAAAACCTATATTCTACAAGCTATTTTCTCTTAACAGTACAACAAAATTACACTGTCATTGGATCACTCCAACGTACCCCAACTATATTAGGATTACCGTGATTTTTTAATTTTTTTTACATCAATTAAAGCTACAGTCTTTTGCTCAACAGGCCGAAATACTGTTAAAAAAAAAAAAAAAAAAATGAAAAATAAAAAAAAAGAGGAAAAGACAGTCAAACATATGTAGTTGGCCTCACAATCTGGTTTCGGGCTTTGTTTTCGTGCGGACCAATTGATTCGATCGCAAAACGCCGTAAGACAGCGGCGCCTGGACACTGTGACTGCTGCGCGAATTGTTCAGCTCAATTTTGTCCTGATCGTGATGCTGCGCGTAAAGCTTTCGCCGATTGACGCACCCCTGAACTGGCGGCCGACCTCGAACTTGCAGTTCCGAGTCCGTTTCCTCTTGACTGTCCACATCTCCTAAACAAAACGTCAGTTTTCGTTACTGCCCATCAATGTTGGAAATGAAAAACAAAAGTACAAGAAAGTCGCGTAATCTCACCATCGGAACTATTGGTAGAAGGCAGGTAGTGTCGTGAGCCCGTAAATTTGGACCGATCGTTGATTTTGTTCTGGTATCTGAATTCACGTGGTAACGTGTAACTCCGAGGTAGCGAAAACTGGCTTCCCTCGAAATCACTGAGCTCCTCGTCACCGGGACCCTCCTCCCTGCAAGTTTCTTCCAGACCATTTTGATTACTGTTACAAAGCCTATTAACACGAGAAAAATGCTTCGTTTCATTTGAGGAAAAATAATAAAATACAGGGACAACAACAAAGATCGCACGCACCTGTGGTTCTCGACCACGGGGGGATTCCAGTGAGAATAGTGATGGGGCAAACATCTCGGCGCCAATAGAATCTCCGGATTGCCCGCGCATTTGTTCGGGAGTATGTTTCCTGGTGTCGCCGGATGCCCGGTCGGGTAATACGAAGACGACGGCGGGGGTGGCATGAGGCAGTGCATTTTTACAGGTGGCCACGAAGTCAGCACACTACTGCCACCAGCTCCGCAATTCTGGTGAGCCACGGTCGCGTTCGAAGTGCTGTGCAGCTTTGTGTTGGGCGGAGGTTTTTGATTTGACGCCGATGGATTCGAGGAGGCGAACGAGGACGTGGACGGTGGCGGTACTAATTTGCCTTCCTTGATTTCCTCCTGAATGGCTCGCAGCTCGCGAAGCTGCTGCTGCTTTTTTTCTCGAAGTTTTTCGTGGATGAGATTCACGTTTAACGAGCCACCTACGGTCATGTCAGTATCGACTTTATCCCTCCGCGTGTTGTTGTCCTGCAAACGATGCGTCAAAGTTGTGGTTGCTTGTGTACTGTACACCCATATATGTTGTTAACTTACGTTGTTAACACTGGGAACCGGCAAGGGTTTTTTCCAAAAGGGTATGAGTTGCGGGGCGTTTTCGTCACCGTTGACCCATTTGTTGTTCTCACTCAGGGACGTCATGGCTATGATGTTGGCTTGAGGCTGCGTCGGGGGTGGCACGAAGGACGTAGGCTTCTTTTTCTTGCGATTGGGATTCGTCACCGTTGGATTCGCGAATCGGCAATTGAACACACCCGGTATACCTCCATTGCTCAATTTCACCTTCCTCGTATCCATCGCGTTGTTCTGCTTGTCGTCGAAGCCATTGATGTGCTTTTCTTGAAAAGCATTCTGAAATTGGGCAACGATAATCACATGCATCTTGAAAATCCGCAAGTACGGACATGTATGCCATGATGGGTCATTTTTACCTGGCAAGACAGCGAATTGGCATTTGTGCCGTTCATCCTGCCACCGGCTTCGTATCTCAGTCTTCTCACGTGGAAATACCTGTAGTACAGTCCCATGAAACACAAGCCACCGAAGAATAGGCCTAGGAGCGTAAGCATCAGAGATACCGGCCGAACGTTGCGATACAGCTCGTTCCGATTGACACCCACAGCCCACACTCCCACGAGTAAACTGTTCTCGAGAAACATGACCGAGTAAAAAATGAGCTGAAACAAGATGAAAATCACACGATGGATATCCATTTCGGATCGACGCGATCGCAGAAGAAGAAAAAAAAAAAAAAAAAAAAAAAAAAAAAAAAAAAAAAGTACGAGAAATCAGCAGCCCACCATCTTCTGTCGGTGATTGGTCTCGTGGAGATTGACGTAGGAAAAGACGTAGACGAAGGCCATCATCGAGGCGACAAAGACCTTCCGGAGCAGGGGGAGATTCTCGTCTGCGCGAAACAGACCGTCCGGCGTGAGCAGCAGCCACGTGAGCATGGAGAGCCAGTGCAGGGCGACAACGACGAGCAGCCACTCGGCACCGTAGACCGAGGCGTAGGCAATGAGGGCGCCGACCCTTGCGCTCACGGTGCAGAGCCGCCAGGCCAGCTGGGCCAGCACCCCGAGCCAGGTGAGCACGAGGCGCTCGAGGTTCCTCAGCCGAGCTGCTCCCTTGCTGAACGAGGCTACCGCCCAGCACACGCTCCAGAGCGACAGACCGGCCGAGACGAGGGTCAACTTGGCCAGCTTCGTCGCCGCATCCGCGCTCTCGTACTCGACCGGGGCTGCCTCGAAGCCATGGGGATAGAGGCTCACCGCCAGTAGGTACACCTGGAGGAGTAACATCGGCCCGGCCTCGCAGAAGCCGTGGATCAGCCTGAGTATGCAGAGCTCGCGCACCTCGTGCTTCACGTGCGCCAACTCCACGGGGATGAAGAGCTTGAAGTACCGCCAGAGCACGCCCATCTGCGTCGTGTGCACCAGGAGCACGTACCCCAACGTCCAGTTGCTCGTCCTTTCCCCATCGTGTTGCTCATCTTCCGGTGCTACAGCTGTTGTTGTCGCTTGCTTGTTCGGCTTATTGTCCGGGTTGCCGCTGATGCAGCAGCGCCTCAGTTTGCCCCTGGGGCCCCACAGGTACCACTTGACGCTCATGATCTGTGAAATATTGGTAATACACGTTTATGCATACATTCAGACCACGTGTACATGCAAAGAAGTGCTACAGCTACAGCTCGAGAGTTGTTGTGTTGAATGACAGCATCAGATGAGAGGAAAAAAAAAACACGTACCTGGGACACGACGAGCGAAGCAACGATGAGGACGAGACTGAGGGGAAAGAGAAGGCCGGGTGTCTCCGGGTGGTGGGCGAGCGCGTAAGCCATCGCAAAGTCGAAGACAATGTCGCAAAAGTAGGACGCCAGGGATATTATGTTGAAGAGAACGTCGCAAAGGGGCAGGAACTCGTACTGGTGCTGCTGGTGGTGATTACTCGGATTGTGCTGCTGTTGTTGTTGATGCTGATGTCGGAGTTCGGCCATAATGGGCCTCCGTTACCCATTTGGACTCCTTCTCCAAGTCGTCCCCTTGTTCCCTCCTTTCACTCGCCGGTCCAGCTCCACCGGCTTCTTCTCCAGCTACATGTTTTTTTTTTTTTTTTTTTAGATAAACATATATTATTGTTTTACGTAGACACCAAGGCAATTCTTTTTTCCATCATCTGTATTCCACGTGCACTATAAACTATACTTGATTGCATTCACATTCAAATCAGCGAGAAGACGTTGGAACAGCGAGTTCGTTCAACTGGTATGGGCATTTAAAAGATGATACGTAAAATTTACGATGGAAAAGTATATTATATACACGTATACATATATACATATATCCGTGCATTCATAAAGAGGAACGAAAAGAAGCAAAACTTTGATGGAGCTTATAAAAATGTACGTACTCGAAAGTTCTTTAAGTACCACGTACTACAGTATCCGTTTGTTTTTTGCAAAAGAGATGAAAAAAAAGAAACTGCAAGAATTCCATTGATTGAAGCGTGTGAGAGAGAGGAAGGGAGGATTGGCCGAGGGGGGAAACAAAAATCAAAAGATATGATCGTCACTCTGAAACCACGGGGTTTAGAGTGATAAACGTGATGCTTTTTGACACAATTTGTGAATTTCGCTGCATCGATGGGACCGGAGATCGGTTAAAGGCACCCACAGATCTCAAGTAAGCGCACACATGCACAAGCACGTATAAACGGATCTCGATTGGTATTCGATCGCAGCAGGGATATATAAATAATCGGTATGGGTGCAAAAAGCAGCACGCGAAGCGTCATTTGTAGAAAAATCGCGCGAGAGTGATAAGGGTAAACGGGTAAACGAAAAACAAAAAACCGGAGCCAAAGTACGCGTTATGTGTAAAAAAAAAAAAAAAAAAAAAAAACGAAAAAAATGATTGCTCACCGCATTCCTTGCATATGGCCTATATGTATCTTGGGTGTGCAAAACTGCCGAGGAACACACACAGACACGCGCGCACATGTACACTATCGAGGACGGTAAGGATCAAGAGTCCAGCCTCGGCTTGGGTTGGCCGACCTGACGCCGCGAGACATAGTGCCCAGCTCCCTTGGCTCCGCATCTGCCGCTCGCTCTTCCCCCGCGTTGTGTGCAGAGAACTCCCGGGAGCAGTAACTTGCCTCTCTCTTTCTTTCCCACTAGCTCGAATTCTCCTGGAATGCCAGGAATCCTGCCCCTCGCTCGGTATATATGCCACTCGCACCGCCGCCAGGCCTCTCTCTCTCTCTCTCCCTCTATACCTCCACACGCTCGATCCTATACTACTATTGCATGCAGCTTCTTTCTTTCTCGGTCCTTTATGAACTTTTCCTCCTCCCGCTCTCTCACACATTTCAAAAGAAAAGGAGCCGTCGCGCCTCGACAAAGACTTGAATTTTCGGAGCTATATCGCTGATGCACACATGCATAATATTTATGTTACGTACAACACAATATATTATGTTCGTCATTCACGTAGATGTACACTTACACCTGGATAAACCCTACTTTTTATGAACACATTTTTTTCGCGTCCAACTTGCACCCGTAACATATATAAAAGGTACGTGTGCCAGTTAAGGCTTACACCCGCGCTACAAAGGAAAACGCCTTTCTATTCCCCCGCGATACTCTTGCATGTGGTACACGCAGATATTATACATGTGTATATCTCCCGTATTCCCGTGTTCCTCTTATAACATTACGGTAAATCTGCCGCTCATCCGTATGGCTCGCGACAATTTCTTCTTCTCTTCGATTCTCGTGTTTTCCTCCGGGCCCCGGGCGGCGAGAGAGCGAGAGGATGTGGCCTCCGAGATCTTTTTTCCTTCGCCGATGATGCTGCGCCCTCGCCTTTTTCTTCTTTGAATTCCGAGTGCCAATTTTTTACTAGCGCTTATCTCGTTGTTATTTTGCATTTTTGCATCATGCTCCGTCTTTTTGTAGCTGCGGTTGCGAAAAAAAAAATATATGTATATATGTAAAAGGTGGAAGGACTGCAGTCGAAAAGAATCCTGACGATTAATCCATCGGACTCCTTCTTCTTTATACCTATATATACATGTGTCTCTCGCAGGAGGATGAGGAGAGTTAAAAGGATACAAGAAGTTTATTATGATGTTCTCATCCCCACACCTTTGGAAAGCGACACTTTTTTTTTGCATCCGTTTCCACGAACTGCGCTAAAGAATGTTTGTCACGCGCAGTTTCTTTTTCTTTCTCTCTCTCTTTTTTTTTTTTTTTTTTTTTTTTGTGCATTGCTGTTATGATGAGAAAAAACTTTTTTTTTTTTTTTTTCAAGAGTACACAAATTTTGCGATAAAACCATTTTATTTTATATATATGTACAAAAGTTTACGGAACGACGCTCGATCCGCTCGAAAAATACAAAATAAACATCGGTTGTGGTAAAAGAGTATTGCGTATAAATATGTACCTGTATATGGTTTGTATGAAAATAAAACATTAAATCGATGTAAATTTGGGTGATTTCCATGCATAAAAATTCATTGTTTCAAGATTTATGTTGCAATTGACATGATTAAAGTTTCACGTTCTCGTATGCACGCATTAAGAGCTCTACTACAGATTGTATACAAATAAACTTTGAGCTGCGAGTTGTATTAGTGAAATCCGTACAAAATAAGTATCAAGAACCTTACAAAAGAATTTTCTAAAAACAGTTTTTTATTATTTCGTCTCGAAAACTATGGAAAGTAAAAAATTGTTTTTAAAACATTAAATTAAAAAATCACTTACGTGCCAATTTTATTCGTTTCAAACGATTGGCATTAATTTTCAAATACTGATGGTAAAAAATTTACCGATCAAGTTTAGCGAGATGCAGGCAAAAATTTATTTTTTGCACGAATCATCTACAAATGTATATTATCTAAAAATTATTGCCCACTATCCATATAGCTTGTAGTTCTAACATATTTACTACGCATATTTTTATGTAAAAAATAAAAAATTTAACAAAAAATTTATCATCTAGTAATAAGTAACTGCAAAGGCAATAACTTATTGTTCAAGTGGTTTGCATTTGCGCGAAGTTTTCTTACAGATAAAATTTGTAAAAATTGTATCATAAATGTAAGCGATGTCTTTAAGATGAAAATCAATATTATGCACATCAACGTCTCACGTGACAAACAATAAAAACTGATTTTTTTTTCCAAACGATTTCCTTTTTTAATTTACAGTTCTGCATTCTCGTAAATGTTCCTAATAATGTTTTTTACTTGATCAATAACTTACAATACGATCTCGTTCTTAAAATCTCGAGTTAATTCTTTGTGCGGTAAAATGATAGAGTTCAGTAGTAATTTTTCGGAGGCCAAACTCACGGAGGATCCTAAAAAAAGTAAAATTTTCCTTATGCTTTACACGTACGAATAAAATTTTTCATTGAAAGAAACGAGCGGTACGTAGGTAGTATGAAATTTTAAAAGTATGCAGGGTAGATTTGAAATTGGAAATTTGTAAACAAAGGTAAGAATGTTTTCGTAATAGGAGATATCAAAGGTATATATAAATATAGAATTTTTTGTCAAACAGTCTTTGAGATTATTCAAGATTACGAAACATTTGAAAGAAATGAAAAACTTGTTGATTTAACTTGAATACGAAAAAGAGGCTTGAAAGTTGTTTCGATATTAATAAAAATAAAGACACGTACCTATGATAGTGGCAGAGGGATTGAGCTGACCATAGATGTTGAAGAGCGGCCGGTTTTCCATCTTGGCAAATGGTTTGTCAGGGTTGGGGTCACAAGGTGTGCCTTCAACCCTCGCCCACTCGCCAACCCTGCTGTCTTTGCCAACGATGCTGTACAGGACTATCGAGTGTGCTTCTATTTTGGCATTGTCCATTACGATAGTCTCGCGTATCCTGACGCCCGAACCTATCGTCACGTTTGCGCCTATGCTCACGTTTGGACCCAACTGTAATTTACACGCGTTCTTACATCATTCGTTCTCTTGTAGCGATGAATGATACGATAAGGTGGCAAACTTACCACCGCAGTAGAATGAATCGAGGCAGTAGGATGTATGTAGACATCATCAATTATTTGGCATGGACTGTTTTTTTCAGATGCTAATCTCTCTGGCTTGTGTTGTCTGTACAAAGCCAAATAATGACGATTGACATAGATAGCAGAACCTGCAGTTTTTACTTGTGACCACCAATTTGTCACTGTCAATGCAAATAGTTTTCCACTGTTTACCAATTTTGTTATGATATTCTGTTCCAGGGAGATGTAGCTTGAATCTTTGCCGTTGCCATTGGAAATTCTGTGAATAATTACTCACTTCAAACTACAATTTGAGTACAGAAAGAAGAATACCCAAAAATTGACTTACGTTGATTTTTGCTGAGGTCTTTCGTTGTAGAAAACATCAGCCATCGTTTGGAAAATTTCATTTGTCGCCACGTATACTCCGCAATTGATGAGAGTGGACACAAACGTAGATGGCTTTTCTACGTAATGTGCAACACAACTATCACTATTGATGACCAAACATCCATAATTCAGGGACTGCTGTCTTGTAGCTTCTGTTGCCATTATTGTTAAAAGGGACTTTTTGTTTTTGTGAAATTGTAAGAGCTCCTCAAGAGGGAAGTCGGCGCACACGTCACCGTTGAATATAAAAAAGCTCTCCTCTCCACCTGCTCTTATCTGATCTCTAAAGTGATACATGGAACCAGCAGTTCCCAAAGGTGTAAATTCTTGCAAATATCTAATCACAACACCATTGCTGCGCGACATGTCCTCAGCAAACGGCTGTATGTCGGCTATGTTGTAAGAACCAATAATCAACACTTCGGAAACACAGCCCACTTTCTTACACGCCTCCACATGATGCTGAATCATCGGAATACCAGCAATTGGAAATAATGGCTTGGGTATGTCCAAGGACAGTGGCCTGAACCTTGTCCCTAGAATCAAAATGAAATAATTATTTTTTTAAGCTCTGTTCCAAAGTCACGTGCGTCCACACACCTTAAAAACACAACATATTGACTGTGTAAAAATAATTACCTTTAGAGGGACCTCCTATGAGGATGACAGCTTTCATTGCACAAGATTTTTAAAATATTTTAGCAAAAGAAATTTGCTTGTTAGGTCTGTATGTATAAATTTATATGGAAATATCAATACTTTGACGCTTATGTTTACAAATACGATGCTGGCTTAGTATACGATGGTAACATGAACAAGACGTTCAAAAACGGAAGTAGCGTTGTTTGTATCTCAAAAAGTTTTCCTAAAAAATTATTTCGCACAATACTGTATATCGGCAAGTATAAAAAAAAAAGATAGCTTGCAACCAATAAACTTTTAATTATCTACTTTAAACGATTGTGATGACGTTAACGTTATGATTTGGCTAGTGAGTCATTAGTATTTAATACCTATATAGTGACAGTGACTGCAGCAGAACTGAAGTAGACGCGTAAACACTATATACTACTATGCCATTATACTTGTGTTCTGCTTGTGTGTAACTATGTCGAGTCAAAAACCAAGAGAGTATAAAATGACCACGTATAATACTGTGTCTATTTTTTACTCAGAGAATCTCAAAGATTCATTCCTCAATCGTCCGTAGACGATACCGATTTGTACTAATTATTATGTATTGCCGATATTACCGATTCAAATAATCGAGTTTTAAATTAAAACTTATAAATAATTTGTTTTAAACTAGCAAAAATCATAATAAACTGTAGCAACTTCATATTCACTAGTTGGATTAACCAATAAATTACTTAATATATAAAGCCTGGAGATTATGTATTGAAAATAATGGAAAATATATTCTTATGGAATTATGAAAACACCAGTCAGAAAGTTTTGACCAGTAAGAGGACTCGTAGGGCCGCAACGGAGTCATTTGATTGGTCGAAATTTTCAGACTGGCTTTCTTACGAATTAAGAAAATTTAGTGAAACATAGCTATAAGTATCGCTTACCGATAACAACATTTGATTGCAATGAGTGTTAGATCTATGGATAATGGAGTTTTTTTATGATATACGTACGATCGTTGTGAGAGTAAGAAACTTTGATTTGTTTCATAAAATTCTCTGTAGATTTGCTATAATTTTGAAATTAATGTGTGGGTGTTACCATATTTATGATGGCCATAAGAAACTTAAATTTTTAGAACAAAATATTCCTGCATAATTTAATTGACTTGAATTTTAAACAGAAAAGGTCTTGCTAGGTAAGTTCTCCGACTGTCCCAAACGATCAGCTCCTATCGATAAAATTTTTTTACTAAATGCACAGATTCGGCGAAAAAAGTTAAAAAGCAAATTTGTAAAAAATGTTTATATATTTTGAATATCAATGAAAATCCCGCGCCTCTCCACCCACGTACGGCACGCATCAACCCAACCTCACCCTATCCGTATAAAACACACTCTCTGGAAGGGCAAGTGCAAGTCTCCGAAAAAGCACGTGTTTCGGCGTTTTTTCGTTTTTTATTAACAATTTTTTGATCAACCGATTAATCATCCGAAATAGAGCGATCAAACAATATAATCAACTCAAGTTACGACGTATTAGTTTAGTGATTCAATCATTGTTAGCGAGAGGGAGATCAATAGGGTCGTGGAAGTGTGTGGATGGTATAGGTGAAGTTGCGAATTTGCGACTTAGCGATTGGCGAGTGTGTACTTAAAATACCAAAGTATATAAGTACACCACATACTCTCGTTACAATGGCGGTGGCATCGATCTGCCGGCAGTTCGCCGTTAGAAGCTGTGCCGCAACAGCAAACTGCAGAGCCGTCGGCGTCAGAACACTCGCCGAAGCTGCGAAGGCGAAGATGGGCCTGCCACGAGTATTTTTCGACATGACCGCTGACAACGCTCCGGTCGGAAGGATCGTCATGGAGGTACATAATTGTTGAATAGATGTCTGATTTTTTTTTTTCGCGCTTTTTGCTGAACTACACGGTTGCGGTTGTTACGTTTTCATTTTTTACAGTTAAATTACAGTGAGCCGTTCTCTGTGCGGTAGTTTTTGAATTTAATTTTCAACAGGCCCTGATGGTCACTAAGTTTTTAATTTTAAACAAGGAAAATCTGTGAATTTTTTTTTTTTTCATACTTGAAACAAATTACCAATTTTAAACATGTCCTTAGTTTTGAATTTTTTGTTGGTCGAAATTTCACGCATATATTAATTTTTCGTCTGTCAAGTCGTAAAAAACGGTATTTTTATGATGAGTTCGGTAACATATTGAAATCATACGCTAAATAACGACTGATGCTCCAAAAAAATAAATTCTTTTTTAAAAAACAATCATTGCTACTGTCTTAGGAAGATTTTAAGTATCAATAAAAACTATTTTAAGAAGATTGCACGTATACTGTAGATCAATAGTTTTTACGTTTATAGCCAAGTACTGTACCTTTTTTATTATTAACGAGAAACTAGAGCTGTGCACATGATTGAGTACTATTGAATGCAGGTGAGAGAGATGATATTCTGTGCACAAGTTGACCCTGTACTCGAAATGCCTTGTTTAAACCGTTTAAGGAGGACAAGTGCCATTATTGTCGGTAATTTTGGCTTGTTAAAATTCCATATGATTGTCCAAAACCGTAAGCGTCTTGCTAATCCCATTCATTTTTTTTCTCCTATATGCACATAATAATAATACTTTTTAAACAAAACAAAAAAAAAAAACAAAAAAAACTGTTTAATAATGAAATTTTTTTTTTTTTTTTTTTTTTTTTTTTTAAAGCAATAACTGTTTAATCATCAAAACGATTCATTTTTTCCAAAACTTAATTTTTCAATGACTCAATGACTCTGTCGAGCCAGTGACCAGACAAATCATCGTGACCCAGTCCGAGGTGAATAATAGCTCAGTTGGTAAAAGAGCTAAACCACCCGCCAATAGAAAAATCTATTGGTTCGATTCGTGCATCAGTCAATTTTTCTTCTCTAACATTCTTTCCTAATAAACAGTAAAAATTAAAAAAAACATCCTTCCCTATCATACATGAGCATGTCGATGTCCAATATTTGATCAACATGCATTCGAGTGGAAGGTAGATCAATTCAGCCACATTGCTTCGCGTCGTCGGCTAATAGTACGGCCACGTGAATCTCAAGGTTGAAACAATTTTTGCTCGTAAATGTATTTTTTGGCCTCACCTTGACGATGAAATCAATTTCTATTTATTAAATGTTACCCTTTGCCGCGAACTATACTTTCTACACATTGCCGATTTGGTTTTTATGTTTTGCAGCTGTACTCGGACGTGACGCCGAAAACGGCCGAAAACTTCCGGGTCCTGTGCACCGGGGAAAAGGGTTTCGGGTACAAGGGCAGCCGGTTCCACCGGGTGATACCGAAATTCATGTGCCAGGGCGGCGACTTTACCAACCACAACGGCACCGGCGGCAAATCCATCTACGGCGCTAAATTCGAGGACGAGAACTTCAAGCTGAAGCACACGGAGCCCGGCATTTTGTCGATGGCCAACGCCGGGCCCAACACCAATTCCTCCCAGTTTTTCATCACCACCATCGAGACCGGCTGGCTGGACGGGAAACACGTAGTGTTTGGACGGGTCGTTGAAGGGATGAACATCGTGAAAAAGGTAGGCCACATCCATCACGCGTTACTAAAACATTGTACCCGTCCACCTTCACATTTTTCATTTTATCGCTTACACGCTCGTCAACCATTAACTTTTCCCATTCGATTGAAAAACGTCATGACCAGTTATACTCTTGGAAACGACGCTTGAGCGTTTTTCGCTCGTTTCCGCTCCTAAAATAGACGCGACAGTCTACTTTACATGTACTCCAAACGTGTAATTCGATACCTACTGGGGGAGGCTATTAACTGACGGCTTTCATAAAAGCCGTCGAGTGATGTATGCTCCATCGTTTGATTAAAAAAAAAAAAAAAAAGAAGTGAAATTGTTGGATTTCAAAATTTAGTCGCATAAAATAATTTTTCTCAAATATGATGTATGGACATGCAATATAGTACATAATTTATTACTTGAAACCTTTTTTTTTTCCCCACCATTTAAGTTTCTTTTCCCGTTGAACAGATGAAAAAATTAATCGCGAGCGTCATCGTTAACTCGATCGTGATTTCTGACAATTACTTCATTTCCGTGGGCTCCTACGTCCTAATGTATGTACCAATAAAACCCGCACAGTCCCTGTATAGGTATGTATATCATTTTACGACCGCAATCAGTTAATCTAGCCAATTTCCATTTTCAAAGCTGGAAGCCATGGGCTCGGCGAGCGGAAAAACGTCCAAGAAAATCGTCATCCAGGATTGTGGCGAGCTGAAAGCTTGAAGCGAGGCCTCTGCCGGAAAAGCAAGACAACCTTAGATCTCATGTCGCTGCGTCGACGCACACACACCATATGAACCCACACGGATTGACCCTTTTTATCCGCAAACTCTTGATGGCCTCGATTTAGACGTGCGTGATTCGAGAGACAGACAGGCGCTCGTTCTCTTCATGCCCCTTTTTTCCTCTCCCGTCTACGGTGATTTACCAACTGTCTGTTTCTCGTCTAGTATCCTATATCACGTGCAGGCACACACACACGTACACTTGTATTTGTAATATGCCTAGCTACTACTGCATTCGAGTATTTGTTATGAACAAAAGAAGTGAATAAAGTTGTTTTCAAAAACTAATTGTTCTTTGTGATTATTTTTTTTTTCCTTTGAACGTGACCTACTTACTCTAAATTAAACATTCAGTCGTCAGGTGAGGTACTGAATTATTAATTGTTATTGTGCAACAAGTATGGATGATGCGTGTATTAGCTCGTTTGGATAGTGAATGGTGCTCTTTTTTAATTATAATAAGTTATACAAGTATTTATTATTATATAATTTGTTCAAAGAGCTTTTTTGTACCAGGTTATTCATTTTCATGGAACTCGTTATATATATTTCTAGAAAATAAATACAGCAAAATTAATTCCATTGTTATTTTATACGTTGAAATTCTTGAAATATTTGTGTTCTCCAAGTTAGTTAAAATAAATTTTTGCTGTTTAGAAATGAGATAATACATGTTAGGAAAATTGTTCTTCCACTCAGCTGATGCTTGTGTTTTCCTGTCGAAACTTTGCGTTTATATAAACTAGTATTTACAAAATTTGATGCGGGTGAAATGAAAGACACCATGTTCAACATTCAAGATTTATTGTGGGCAACATTTGATAATTGTCTGTACTTCTTATTATTTAATACAGATGCGATATAACATCGATATCTTTTCGCCGTTTTCGCTAGCGCACCTCGGCCATACGTAACGATTTTTTAATTTTTAGAATATTCAGCTAAACCGCACCGTCAGGGACGAGTGCACGGATAAAAAGTTCGTTCGAACGGATATACTATGATAAATTGTTTTTCTCCAACTCCTTTTTATTACGGACGTTGGACGTGAAATTCGATTTGGAAAATTTTTAAATGTACCGAAACTTTGCACGACTCAAACAATTCAATAAAATGGCGTATTTATCTTATTGGTACACGTTTCGTACACGTTTATTACAAAAATCAATCGTTTCGAAACTTTTTTCTCAATGAAATAATATTTGCTTACAAACGTAAATTCCTTGAAAAATACGCTTCGTTTGTTCACTGTGGTTTTTCCTTGGTTAACTATTTTATCACAAATGGTACTATAAAAATAAGTATCAATGAAAATGAGACCCCAATGTATTTTCAAGCTTAAAATTTAACAATTGGTATTTACGTCCACTTGTTTCATCCAAGCGAATGAAAAAATTTTTTTTTTTATTTCATTTTCATCGCATTTCCATCGTATTTACTGATGGCCAGTTATTTTAATATTGCTTTTTACAATCAATAAAAAAAAAAAAAGTCAGTTACGTTTAATGATATTAAAGAAATTAAATTTACGTTTTATCAATCCTTTATTTTGAATAACGAAAAGCAGGATTACACTTTGTTTCTTACTAACGATTGTCTATACATTAATGAAGATGGTCCATAAATTTCATTTTTTTTTTGGAACTTTTATTACCCAGAAGAAAGTTTATATATTCATCTCTTAATTTCATCGTTTGATCAAGATAACACCTTTTTAATTATTATTTAACATTTTCTGCAATAACAAAACAGTTTATCGATTTATAATCTTATTCTAAAAAAACATAATCGTTTGTTGATAAATAATAGATACACTGAAAAAATATCGACTACTTGCTATAAAACTCAAAATCAATTTTATTAACAAAGGGACTTGTTTACACATGTTAAAAACTACCGGGAAAAAGACCTTATTACCCTTATATATTGAAAAAGCGCGCTTTTCTACATTTCTTACATTATACAACAACGACGCTTTGCTTAGAAATTATTACAATAATGATAATAATAATCATTATTACTATTGTTACGATGATGAAAAAGGAATTGGAATTGGGTGGATAAGAGGAGCTCCAAACGCCATCGATTTTCCACACTTATAAAGTTTAATATCATACAGTTTCTCGTTTTCGAATTTAGCTGGAAAATTCGTGAAAAAAATGTTTTTCACACCCTATTTCCATCAAAGAAAAAAATCCTTCGTCCAGCGAAGGCTCCTTGCACGAATGTCTTTTCTTTTATTTATTATTATTATTATTATTATTATTTTTTTTTGTTCATCACCTTTAGTCTCCGAGTGTTGTGATTGTGACACTTGTGAGTAATTATGATTTGTGACCTATCTCCACCTAGATGTCGTAATCCATCTACTGGAAGTTCTGTACCTATAGTCCTGGATGATGGATTTTTTTCGTTTCACGAGTTCATATTGTGCAAGGTCGTGGACGGTATGGATGTCGGAGGCGTCCAGGTCCTTGGCATAAGAAAAGGAACGTAGTCAGCATCCTCAGGAAAAATCATCCCTGGTAATTCCAAAACCCCACGGTGATGATGTCTAGGTTGTCGGGCGATAGTACCGTCACTTAACTCAACCAAATCCACCATTCGGATAGTTTATTGTCCATATAGTCGCTCACAATGACCACTAAACTCGCGGCAGTTTTTGAGACACTGCGAACTCGCAATCAGATCCAGGGGATCTACTTAATATTTTGAGTATATACTTATAGACACCTACGTCATATAAGTACATGTGATCGGGTTCAAGATTGGCCCTCGCAAGCACATCTTAAAGTGACGAGAATGTAACACCACAGTTCGCGTACCTTGGATGACCGTCGACCTACTGAACTCGATCGCGTGCATCGGAGCACTCAATCAGACCCGAATGACCTCGACAGAATTTCAGGTCTTACACTGAACTGATTCCGTTAGTCCCCGGCTCCTTTATCCTTTTATAAGCTAATGGGTCTGTTATCGGACGGTCACGTCACTTTCACCCGCCTACGGATTCATGCTGAGTCATGCAACTCATGCAGGGGGAGAGTCGGACCGATTTAAGGGGTGAATCATCGTGCGTGTGTAGCTACCAGTGGGAAAGAGAGCCATTGAGTACGTTTTATCTAAAAGGGGGGGAGAAAATTGACGAAAACTAATTGTGTACCAAGCATGGCAAAAATATAACATTTTAGCAGCAGAAACAATGATTCTAAGGTATATACGGCACAATGTCTATTCTTTAATCCCAGAAAAAAATCGATTTTCCAACGGGACAGCGGTACTTACACCTTCTGCTTTGAAAAAAAAGCAAATCATTGAGCACAATCATCACTCTCGTAGGCATCTGCTCTGCACTTGGGCCCTTTTTTTTCTTTGTAAGCGAAACCCCGAGTTCTAAAGCAAAAACTTCCTTGAGTGCAGGACGATTTTTTTTGTTTTTAGTATAATNAAAAACATGTTTGCGGTAGAAGAAATGCCGACGTACAACTTACAACATACGTAAAACAAAAAAAAAAGAAAAGAAAAAAGCAATTTAATCAAATCGTCTCGGATAAGCGTGTCGGTGTAAAATGAAAAAAAAAGACAAAAGTTGTTGAAAACGCTGACGGTTGTCTCGCCTCAAACAGACGTTACCGCTTGTATAAGCGCTCGAGAGAAAACAACGTGCTATTACCGAGTCTCCGAAGACGCAGTAAGAGTTTCCCGCGCGGGGTGCGAACCATTCGCTAACCCGACAGACGCATCCAGGGCGCGTCACTCCTACACGTACCCACGAAAACAACAACTACACCGGTATAATAGTGCGTGTACCCGCGCGTGGAAGAAGTAAGTGTATATATAATACACACGAAAGAAAACTTTCTCCATTCCTCCCGCCCGTAATACGTTAACTGCACACGTGAGCGTAAACTTTGCTGCAACTCGTTACAACCAGTTCCCGGCAGTCTTCGTACCTGCAGTCGGTGAGTTAACAAGCGACACTCACCTGTTTCTCTTGTGCTCGACCGTCGTCTTGGTTGAGGTGCCGTCGCCCGGCTTGCCGTCCCTGGACTCGTCGTCCGCGCCGCACCTGTCGATCTCCGTAGCCGACGAGGTTAACGAGCTCAGGATCGATATGAGGTCCGTGTTGGTGCACACGATGCCGGACGCCGAGCTGGTGCACGGTATGGGCGGGACGCCAGATCTCGGGGGTATGGGTGGGGGCAACATGGGCCCTCGGGGTGGCATTTCCGAGGCGCGTCGCCGGGCCGTGGCCAGTGGGGCCAGGGCGGGTATCGTCGTCAGGGTAAAGTCCGAGTAGCGGCGCTGCTGGTTTTGCGTGTAACGCTGGGCCGAGGCGCCGCTGCCCCCCTCCAGTGGCTGGACCTCGCAGACCCGCTCGTGCGACGGCGTTTTCCACATTTTTAGCCGCACCTACGTGTGTTTTTTTTTGTTTTTTTTTTTTTTGTTTTTTTCCATTGACGGCCGTATAAGAGAAAAAAAAAAACGAGCACTCGTTAAACATTACTACAAAAATATGTGTGTCAATAAAGCCCGGCCTTTCGATCGCCAACAGAACAATGGCTGCGTCCAATGACAAAAGAGCCCCGGCTGCTCGGTCGCTGGCTCACACGTAGAGCGGATGAGTGTTATCGATTAAACTCTCCCCGATAGCTCGAGCGCGGGGGGTATGAATAAATAAATAAACAAACAAATACGGAACAAATCAATTATTCGGTCATTTGCAATACATATATATGGAATACGTGGCGTTACGATCGACTGGCGCGCAAATGTATACGAAACCCCGTGTTGAAGTATGATCGGTCGGACAAAAGCGGTGGGGGGGGGGGAGAAAGAAAGAAAGAAGTGCGCCCACTCACCTTCCTGGCAGCCTTGATCTCGGCAATGTCGTCCATGATGTCGAGGGCGAGGTTGTGGGTGCTGCCGCTGTTGCTCGGGGGTGCCGAGGGCATGCCGCTCGAGTCCCTCCTTGCCCCGAGTATCCTGGTCGAGCCGCCCATGGGAAACGCGGCGATCGACTCGCGCCGGTTTCGCCCGAACAGGGTCGGTGGTACCCGCGATATCGTGACCACGCTGTGCCTCCGACCGCCCGGCTGGGGTGGCTGAGACTGCGACAGCGTCGCCAGGAAGGCCGCCTCGCGCGACGACGGACCCGAACCCTCGCCCCCGCGCTCGCTCAGCCGGCGCACCTGTAAAACACACACACGTGTATCCACCTCTGTACGTGTATATATATACATGTATATATTGTATGCGCGACCTGCCGCGGCAGACTGTGTGTATGGAAGGGAACAACTGAGCACGCGAGCCGCGCTTCGATCGGCCGTAGCCCCTCTTTCCTTGTGGTGTTTCTTTCGTGATGTGGTGCACGCGAGCGCGTTTCACGATTCGGGGAAGGGGTTAACACGGGGAAAAGCATCGATTTGCCCGAGCTGTACTCGAGCAATTGAGGATTTGATCCCTTCAACTTGACGGGGTTGCCGATCCCAAAAACTCGCCTCCCGCTGGATTCGTTGTAGCCCATCGGAACTATTAAGGACGTTGGATACCGTCTCCTTACTTTTTGCCCGCTCCAACCGTGTTCATTGGAGTCCCGAAGAAGAGCTCGTTGTTGCCAAAAGCTGAATCTATACTTTTGCGCGACGATTTCCCTGATATATTTCTATACGGCACACGTAGTTTTGATTTGCCCTTTGTACACTGTGGTAACGATCAACGCGCAATTTAATTACATTTCGTGTATAATTGAGGGTAAAAGTTGAAAACAATCGTTGTTCCCTTGGCTGGAGTGATCCGAGAAACTTTGCGTCGAGTCAACTTACTTCCCTCGGCAAGGCAAACTTGCAAAAGTAGTTCCTTGGCATTATCCCGTTAAGCGCGTAATATGGTATACGAGTGACCTTTTAACATTAGTTTTATCAATTTTAGGGTAGATACGTGTTTTTTTTTTTTTGTTTTTTTTCACCCTTTTTCTTGGTACTTATCTGATTTTCGAGGCAATTAAGCATAGCGGATTTTCCCGTATGATATGCCAGAAAACATCGAGGGAGTTCTATTAGTGGAAAAGATCCTTTTGTAAGTGTGAAACTGACCGGAATGCGCTAAAATCGACCAATGTGATTTGCAAATGTCGTTCCAGCAAGATATGGACGGTCAAGTCGTCGGAAAAAGGTTTTTGAACCAGGCCGGTTTAGGGAAAATAGGAATAGTTAAATGGATGTTTTAGCGCGGTACAGATAAATATTAACACTAAATTTCCATTTCCACGTGTACACCATTGTCTTTTCATCGTAGTCCTGAACAGATATTCCGACCATTTAATTTAATTTGGGTAATTAAACTACTCCACCTTCCATACGTTTGCATTTTCAACTTCACTATTCGTACAATGGATGTTTGTGTAATTGCTCCCCTGCGAAGTTACGGACATTTCAATAGCTTCGACATTTTACGCGTCCGTCCGCATCAATAGTGGGTCATTCGCAGTTTGTTTGACTGCTCTATTGAACTCGATGCAACTGTCGACTGTCGTTGGTTTTGAAATAGCTCTATTTGCGCGATTAGCCCGATAAAAATGATGAGTAACAGTGCACGCATCGAAAAGAAGGGCCGACCGAAAGTTTCAGTAGTAACATCCGCGTTTGGTCGGACGTGCCTTAATTATTCATAAAAAAGTAGAAGTAGGTGCTCTCAACGTCTCTTCAGGGTAAATAAACTATAAAAGCATGATTCTCTCGGTACGAGTGTTCCACAAAGTTTGAAGAGAGAAAATAATTACCTGTGAAGCGGTGATGCCAGAGGTGCACTGGAACGTGGGCAGGGAGTGCTTGCGCGTTTCCCTCCAGGGCGACAACAGGTAGGGGTTGAGCGAGGGCGAGTCAGGGGGTGGCGACTCGCCGCGACTCCTGTCCGTCTCCTCTTCCTCGCCGAGGGCACTCTCTTCGACGACTATCAGGGGCTCGCCCGCGCCACCGCTGCCCGACGACAGACTCGACGAGAACGACTGGCGCCTCATGTTTCCTGCTATCCTCCTTTTATCTCCGGGGCTTGGGTTTTCTCAGCCAGCTGCTGTCGAGTCGTTGTCAACCTTGGGCCGCTGGAAACAGACAAGTTTTTTTTTTTTTTTTTTCCCAAGTGATAAAGTGCTCGTTTGGGGTTGGTGGCCGAGATGAAAGGGGTTTATTGATTTTTGCCCGGGTCGTGGTATCTTGCGGAGGTCTTGTACTTTAGAGCGGAGCTTTAGCCTTGATTGCACCGCGACGCGGCAAAGGACAATGTTTGAGGGGGGAAAATCCAGGCTTTGTTTTTTCCGTAAGGTCAACTGGATCATTGGCCCGGAAATACGTTGTTTATTACGCTTTAAAATCAAGAAGAAAAATAAAACCTGGAAATGCGAGGCAAAAAGCGTGTTTCTCTCCCTCTTGCCCCATTTCTTTCATATGCGCGTATTTTCTTTGAAAGTTAATTGGAAAGACGGATCGATAACAACAGTATATAGTACGGGCAGTAAACTTTTCGCGGCCAAAGTAATATATATGGCAAATGGATCCTTCATCTCATTGCAGGTGTTGGCAAAGTTTTTCAACCGCACATGTACGTTTATTTCAATTTAATACGTATATAAAACTAACCAGTAAAAAATGTTATTTTACCAACGCAAGTTTCGAAAAAAAAAAAAAAAAAAAAAAAAATCAGGTCAACTCTGACACTTGATCGAGGCACATGCGAAATGCAATTGCAGCGGGAATATAAAAAACAGCTCGTGCCCTCTCGCGTAAATAAAAATAATAAAAAGTGCGTCCATGGGTAAACGGCAGCAATAAAACGCGTTTTTGCGCAAACGCTGGCTCGTATATGCCGTATATGCCGTAAAACGTAATCGAGTTCCGCCGCGTGAGCTCGACAAACGTTTTTTTTTCCGTCCGAGCGAGCTGTACCCTGCAAGGTCGCCTCTGCGTTCGGATGATGCACCGGAACTGCTTTTTTTTTTTTTTTTTTTAAATCACAATAACGTAAGTGGATACCCACACTTGATCACCACTGGTTTTGTGGGCCCCTCACGTTTTTACGGTCGTTTTCGGTACAATTGATGGGGCTCTTTCACGCACGTGCTTCAAAAAGTTTGCTCATCCATTAAACAAACTAATGCCCCCAATCGGTAGTTTTGAGAGCTCGCGCTTCGCGATCAAGTATACCAACAACTGCTCCCCAGTTTGCCACGAAGAAAGCACACATACACTTTCGAGCAATACGAATCATGCAAATGACCAATGTACCCGCAGGCTTGTTTTTCTCCCCAAACCCAGTGCCAACAACTTCTTTGTTGTACAAACACGGGTTTGATTAAAGAGCCTCCACAGAGCGAGCAAAAGGAGGGGGAACCGCGGGGGGAAGGGAATCGACAAAAAGATTTCCCAGCGGCTGATGCCTATACCGATCGGTGGGATGTAACGTGTACAGTGGTGTCCAACGAAACACGCAATAAACTCGATACCCCCTTGTCGGACGACCGCTCTTGCACCTGTGTAAATCGCGTTTCTCGCTTTCGCACGTGTGCCTTTCAACAGCGACGAAGCTCTTTTTCCAGGCGCAGCTTCGAACCCATGCAGAGCACTGCGTTGCTCACCCACACCCCTGGCTTTACTCCCTGTTTGTACCCTCGACAGCCTTGAACCACCGTAACACACACACACGCGTGCGCTCGCTTGCGTTCAATCCTTGTAAACGCGTGAAAGGAAGGGAGGGAGGCAGGGAAAACGACATGGAACTTAAAGTCGGGAGCCAAAGAGGGGAGAAAAGTACGTCTCGGCGGGTTTTTAAGGGGGTCCCCAACGCAGCGCAACGAGTGAGTATATGTGGGTGCGGGGGAGCAGTGGACTCTCCCTGGAAATGCGTGCTGCTCTCGACGCGACGCTCGCATTTTGAATGTTTAAAAGGCTGGTTTGCACGGGCCCGATCGATTGTGGCGGATGCCAATGTCATTTCCTCCGTAAATTTGACTTTTGAACAGTAGTGGTCATTGGGTATTTTACGGGGACATTTTTGTTTCAATTCGACGTAAATCACTGTAAATCACATTTTTTTTTTTTTCTACATCAAAGCAATGGCTGCTGATCGAAGAAGCCCGAGTCTTTCCACTGTTTTTGTGCAGTTCACTCTAAAGCTTGAAAGCCCTAGTCTATTGAGTAATCACAATTCACACACCGATCCCCGATGGTTGAAAAATAAAAAAAACAGTCTCGACACTCGTTCCACCGCCTCTTCTTGCGACGGACGCAAACTTGCTCCATCTCGCGCTTTCCGTTCTGCCGACGCTGAACAAAAAGCCATTGGACCACGCAAGCGAAAAGATCGGGCTGATCGGGTGACGTGTCCATAACGTTTGCTCGTGTTTGGCAGCATGGAAACCACCGCTGCATCCTCAGCCGCGCTAATGATGGTCATGGAAATCAATTCTGCCTATCTATCCAACATCCGTAAAAAAAAAAAAAACCCAATCGCGCGATCGTCCAAAACGAAAAAACTCGTGGTCTAAGCGCACGCTCGAGTGTATAATGCACACAGCTTGCGGATGTATCGTAAATCGAATAGCCGTAAACGTCAGCTTCGTAAAAGTGCGGCCGGCAAACATCAGCGAAGTAGATAAAACGACGAGGATCTTGACGGTGTTGGTTTTTCTCTTGGCTTCTATTTCTTGGAGAGGGCCTTTACTCACTTACTTACTCTGCTTTCTTCTCGAGCCACTATACTGCCGGAAGGTTTGTAGTGGCTGGTTTGACTGATGGTGCTCGAGGAGAAACGGCTTGCCTTCGTGTACAGCAAGAGACGACGATGACAGGAAGGATCTCTTGTTTGAGTGCCTGTCCTGTCGTTGCTAGGTGTTTTTTTTTTCTTCTGTTTTTTTTTTTTTTTTTTTTTAATGAGGTTTTCAAGGGGGTTGTCTTGGTACACAGCAAACCACAAAAATGAGCTTAAATTTGAAATTTAATCAATACAAATGTCTTTGTGGAAATTTAAACTAAACAAGCCTTTGACAAGCACACATGAAAATTAATAAAGAAAAAATATTTCCAACGGAGTACTCACTTGCCAGTAATGACTTTTCTATTGATCTGTATCAGTGAATAGATAATAACATTTTACTATACAATGCTTTTGAGTCACTGTGTCTGATTGTTTTAACTATGATTATTTGAAATGCACCTACTTGATTTTTATGCGATTTTGTAATAAATAAATTAAGTTCGAAGTGAAAATGTGTCGTTGGTAACCAAACCTTATGAGTTAAATCTTTTCATTTGAATAATGTCTCCATTTGAATATCTCGAATATTATGAGAGAAGAATGTGTCACGATTTTTGAAAGAAACAAAATATCACGACAATCCTTTGAAATAAGGCCATTTGTAGATCGCACAAAGTAGTAAGTATTCACAGGAAGCTGTATAAATCGAAATTCCTCTTAATTTTCCATCATCAAGGTAACTAAAAAAAGTTGTTGTAATGATGATTACGAGCATCACCGAGAGGAGCAATCTGAAAATCTGGATAATGAAAAACTTATCACGTAAAAGCCCTTGATTCAGAGTCTACACAAGACTCCCGTGATATTCTAATTGAATTTTACAACGTCGACCCCTTGTCATTTTTTAATGGGAAACGTTTTCACCCCGTGACATCGGTTTACCCACATTGTTTGACGTAGCAAGCACGCACGAGCAAACTCAAAATCACAGAGTTTCCTTGAACTTCCATCAGCGGAGTAACACTTCAAACTATGCTCCCCACTCGACATCATCTCTCGTGCAATCAATGAAATGATCCTCGCCCTGTAGATTTTTCTTCTCTCCACTCTTTGGTCGATTAAACTGCGGAATAAAGTACAAAATCTGTGCGCACGAAATTCATCTCACGGCCACGAGAGCGTGTACGATTTATTACAGCCACCGAGTCGGCTAACTGGTGTATAGTGATAATGATCATACGTACCCTCATTTCTGCCCAAGGAGCAAAAAATGTATGGGACAGGAAGAATAATTTAGTACCGACAACGTTTGTATCCGCGCGTATTTTGACCTTTTTTTTTTTTTTTTTTTTGTGTCCACGTGTATGCACTTGCTCGAAGCGTCTTTAGTAAAACAGCGGTAAACTTATCACCCCGAAAACAAGAGAAACGAAATTTCCGGGAAATGCGAGATCTTTTTGTTTGCTTTGCTCGTCGTTTGCTAGTATATAATATATTGGCTGACTTGACGATGATCTAATTTACGAGAGATAAAGGTACAAGCAAATTCATTCAGTTGATGAAATAAACAAAGCTATACGTGAATATAAATGCGAACTCATTCGCGTGTGTTTGTTATTCAGTTCTATTTTAGCATCCATTGGCACGTGTGTTACTTTTTTTTTTTTATGAAAAATATTCCGATAGAAATCCATACTTAATGCAGTTACAAAATTTAAAAAGATAATCTAGAGTCGTTCATTGCGTCCGGATTATTTTATTTGGTATTTTTAATTGCATCGTTTAACCAAGGAAAAACAATGCGAGTATCACGAGCGACGACCGATGAAGCCGTGACGATAATATGGCGAGACCAGAGCTTACGGTACGTGAATTTCTTCGTAACGATGATAACGTTGATTATAATCTACTTTTGGGAGCGCGAACATTTTTGGTATATCAAAACATTCTCGCGTTTCAACGAGGGAGGATTTAATCATTGCGGCTCACGGAAAAGCCGCCTATGTGCAAAAACACAGACAAAGCGTTGAATTAACGAAACGAAGGAGCGCCAAATGAGCGTTATGTGCGTGGTCATTAATCATAGCAAATGTGAAAATTCAATTTGAAAAGGTATTTTGCAATAGAGGTCGTTCTCTTTTTTTTTTTTTTTTTTTTTGAAGGAAAAAATTGTTCATCCTTGCATTAAAAGAGAGGAGTATATCGAATGCCTCTATTTTCAAAAAATTCCCTTATTTTTCGACACTTGAAATTTTCCATCGACATGCGTACGCCAGCAAATTCCGATACCATAATCTAATACCGTCAATCACCCAGATACACTTTGACGTGTACTATCATTTTTAGTCGATA